AACAAAATGTTACGATTTTTGCTTTAAAATACCATATGTACTTGAAAGAAATTAAGAGGAAAATAGTCTTTAGTATTTACCATTTCTGGTGCTTTTCATTTCTTCCTGAAGATTCAAGTTTCTGTCTCATATTATTTCCCTTCAGTCTAAAGAACTTCCTTTAGTGTTTCTTCTTGTGCAGGACTGATGGTGATGAATTCTCTTATTTTACATTTATCTTTAAATGTCTTTATTTTATCTTCATTCTTCAAGGATTATTTCTCCGGATATAGAATTCTGGTGATGTGTTTTTTTCTTTCATCACTTTAAAGATGCTGTTCCCCTCTCGTCTAGCCTCCATTACGTCTGATAAGAATTTAGCAGTCGCTCGTACTGTTGTTCCCCCGCGTGCATTGTATCAGTTTTCTCTGCCTGCTTTCCAGATTCTCTCTTATCTTCAGCCTTTGACAGTTTGACTATAATGTGCCCAAGTGTGGTTTTCTTTGTATATGTCTTGCTTGGGCTTTGCTGAGCCTCTTGAATCTATACATTTTGTCTTTCACCACGTTTGGGGAAATTTGGGCCATTATTTCTTCAATTATTATGTTTCCATTTTCTCTCTCCTCTCATGGTGGGACTCCAATTTCATGTATGTTAAGCCTTTTGATATTTTCCCACAGATCATTGAATGTCTGTTTATTTTTATTCTCTGTTCTTCAGATTGGATCATTTCTATTGATTTATCGTCAAATCCACTGGCACTTTGTTCTGTTGTTGTAAATGTGCTGTTAAGCTCATCCAGTGAATTTTTATTTTACATATTGTATTTTTCAGTTTTAGAATTTCCATTTGGGTTCTAGTTAATACTCTGTATTTCCTTGATAAGATTTCCTATTTATTTCCTATTTACTCGTTCATTACAAGTATTTTTTCCTTTACATTTTGATCAAAGTTATAATCTCTGATTTGAAATCTTTGTCTGCTAATTCCAGCATCTAAGTCATTTCATGATCAGTCTCCATTTATTGCTTTTTCTTTCACTTTTTCTTTCACATTTTCTTATTTCTTATTATGTTAGCAAATTTGGGTTGCATCCTGGACATTATGAATGGTACATTGTATAGCTTCTGGATTCTGTTATATTCCTCTGAGGAATGTTGTTTCTTGTTTGTTTAGCAGGCAATTAACTGGCTGAACTCAAACTTCCTTTTTGGGGAGAAGCAGCTGAAATATCAGTTCAGTTCATTTAGTTTTACTTGGTCTTGAATTTTTCTCCATGGGCACGTAGTTCAAGCGTCAGCCAGAGATTTGGTCAGAGCTTATATGCAGAATTAGAAGAACTCTCTCTCATTTCCAATGTTTCCCTCCTCCACTTTCCAGCTGCCTCAAACTCTCTCCTCTAATTCTTCAACCCAGTAAGACCATGAGCTTCTATTCAAGTTTTAGACAATCTGCATGAAGCCAGTTGCAGGCTGCCCTTGGGTGAAAAGCCATAAAAATATCAATCTTACCCAATGCAATTTTATTCTTCTGAGTGTCAACTCCCCTTCAGTTCCTGACTGCTTTTGGCCACTCTTCAATACCTTCAAGTAGTTGTTACTTTTTCTATTTCGTGCGGAGTTTATAGCTTGGATCTGTAGGAAAGATGGTTTGATAGGAGTAATTCCACCATTACTGGAAATGGAACCTTCTGACCATCAAATTTAGTGGCATGAAACTCATTGGTGCCTTGACAAGAGTAATTTTGGTTAAGTGGTAAGAGCAGAAACTTGGCTACAGTGGGTTCAAGAGAAAATGGAAGAAGTAGAATTATAGAGAGTGAGTATTGACAGTTTCCTGAGAATTTTTGGTGTAAAGGGAAAGAGAGAAATGGGCTGGTTTCTGGAGGTGGATGGGGCATCAGGAGAGGCCATTTTGTAAGAGAAAAGCACGTTTTATAGGCTGATGAGAATAATCCAGCAGAGAAGGAGAAATTGATGATACAGGGAAGAATGGCTGAAGTGATATCTTAAATAGATGAGAGAGGATGGGACGTGCACGAGTGGAGGGGGTAGCCTTGTGTGGGTGTGGATGGTCGCAGAGGCAGGTGGGGGTAGACGTGGTGAAGTGAGCTTGTAGGAGTTACCTTGTTTTGCTTCCATGTTCTCAGTGAGTTAGGAAGCCCAATTACTATCTGAGAGTGAGGATAGAAGAGGACCTGTTAGACGTTTGGAAGTAGGGGGAAGGCATGAAATTGTTTTCTAGGAAAAGTGGGAGAAATAAAGAGCTGGTGACATAGGAGTGCCGGGCAGCACTAAGGACCCCCCTGAGGCTGGTGGGCTTGAATGTAAAGGGAAGCCAGTCAGGATTGGCACGATTTTCTCCACCCACGTTTTGCTACCACGCAGGTGCAGGTGTAGAGCAGGTGATGAGAAGTTATCCAGGGGTCTTTCCAGGCAGGTCCAGTGAGGCCAGAGAGGAGTAAGAGAGTTGAAGTATGTGAGGGAGTGATTACAGGTGGACCACGGGCTTTATCCTGAGTAAGGAAGGTAAGAACGTGAGAGGATTGAGAGCTGATTAAAATTAAGGTGATAGAGTGAACGGATTTCAGGGTCTGAAGAATTGTAAGAGTCAGGGTACTTGAGGGGGTGAGCATAAGTTAGGCAGTGGTAATCAGAGAGTATGCTGCTTGAAATGGAAAATATGGAGAAATTGTCATTGTTGGTAACAACAAGGTTAGCTGACCACAGGAGTGAATGGCTAAGATAGCGTAGAAGACAAAATCATTGGAGAAGAGGAGAGGAAGGAACCAAGAGGCCAGGATATTGGAAGGATCGTGCTCGTGGGCACTGAAATCACCGACAATGAAGACAGAACTAGCATTGAGAAAGTGGCAGCCGACTGGGGCCGAAGTCGTCAGGGAGGAGGGGGTGGCCTGGGGGTCTACAGGTGGCAGCAGCAGGGGGCAGTGGTGGTGGGGTGTGATGACACGGGATATTTGTTCAGCTAGGCTGAAGTAGGCCTGGGCAGCGCCAGACTCGCCTCTCTCCAGACTTCACCTGTAGTGCTTTCTGTCAGCGCACCTTCTGGGGATGGGGCTGAGCTCTCCTCCAGACGCTCAGAGGTAACGTGAGGACAAGCCGTGGTTTGAGATTAGAGCGAGAAGGGTTCCATACTTCGTGTCTGGGGGTCCGAGCTCTGTGGATGGACCAACATGTCCAGCTGGTGGTTACTGACTCACAGCGAGGCTGAAGTATGCGGGAGGCTGGTGCGGGGCCCTGCACACATCTCGTCATCCACCCAAGAGGTTATCTTGAGAGAAGAGTTGCAAAAGTTGGTAGAGAGGTGTGGGATGGAGTGAGAGACACAGGATTGAGAGAGGGAGGCAGAGGAGAGGGTCTGGGTCTTTGCTAGAAAGCCAGGACCTTGTGTCTGCCTCTGCTGTTCATTCAGGGGAAACTGAGGCACCAAGTGGGGAGAGCTCATGTAGCAAGCTTCAGACCTCTTGCTGCCCTCAGAGCTTCTTGACAGCTTCCCAGCACTGCCCTGGTCCTTCCGTTCTTTGCTCAGGGCTCCATAAAGTTTAAAACCAGCCTAAGCCACACATAGTTTTGTTTGTTTGCTTTTGAGAAACAAAAAACAAAGGTTAATGAAATCACCATCCACCTAGTCACCCAAGCAAGAAACTCTGGCCTCATCTTTAAAACCTCCTTTCCCTTTCGGGCGCCAAGGCTGATAGCTCTAAAATGTCACCTCATCTCCATACCCACTGTCTTCACCTGGGCCACCTTCAAGCCTGGCCTCAGCCACGGCAGGACGTGGGCACCTCCAGCTGGCCTCTGCCTCTTGTTCCCCACCCACCTCCCAGCCACCAGAGTGTGCCACCACCTGAGCCATAGCTGAAAATAATGCTGATCAGAGCCTTCTTCTGCCTAAACATCTGCCAGCTCGCGACTTCCTGGAGCTAGAATCCTTAGGTGTCGCCCAAGTCTCTCCCAGGCTGGCCCCAGTCCACCCTCTGTCCCCTTCCCCTTCACTCACCCCTGCACCCCACCCATGCTACGCATCTCCCAGACACGCCGTGCCCCTGTAATCCCAGTGTCTTTGTGTCTTTTCTTCTGCCTGGTGTGTCCTCCCCCAGCTCTGCCTGTCAAAACCCTGTCTTTCCCTCCAAGAGACCTGCGTGTCTGCACCCGCGTGGAGGCCCCAGTTGGGTCTGCACTTGCGTGCGCGTCTACCTACCCCTCTGTGGAACGGGAGTTCCTTGTGGGCAGGAGCAGCGACTTACTCGTTCTCGTGTCCTTCCTCAACACCCAGCTGCGTGTCAGGCACAGAGCATTAGCTCAACACACATGTACAGGGGTTTGAAGACGACTCTGGGTACAGAGTCAGAGAATCTCGTGTTGAATTGATCCAGAAGTCTTCCAGCCCCCAACCCCCCATCTGACCTTGAAGGTCCATGCCCACAGCCTCCAAGTTGGTCTCCCCTCCAGGGAAGGACAACTTGAAGCTGTCCTGGCTGATAGTCTCTGATCCGCTCCAGCCTCTGGGTTCCTATGTCTTCCACTCCCTGGCCCTCGTGTTTGCCGTCTAGGGCCATGGAGAACAGGCCAATCTCTTTTCCCCGGGACAGTTCTTCCAATGTCTGAACACAACCATCCTGTGGCCCTGAGTTTCCTCATATCCAGGCTGACTCTTCTCTGTTTCTTCCTGCCTTGCTTATAGGGCACAGTTCAATGCCCCTCTTACTGTCTTGGTCACCCTTCTGTGAATACGTCTCAGGTTGTCAACATCTCTCTTAAGAACAGAGCTCTGAATGGGGCATGACACTAGATGTGGTCTGAGCAGCACTGAGTACAGTGGGACTGGGACCTCTCAGACTTGGGGCATCCATTTCTAGTCTGCCCTGTCACGCAGGCCAGGAAATCGCTGGGTTCCTGGCATCTCCAAGCTCCTGTTCCTTGGAAACTTAGGCAGAGGTCTTTGTTGACTGCGAGGGCCCCAGGTTATAGTGGATCCTACCGTGCAACCTCCTCAGGGAGCCGGGTCTCATAGGAGCAAGGAAACAGAGCACGCGCATGGGCATTTGCAAATGGAATTCTCCAGTGTGGATGGATCCAGCTTTTGGATGAATTTATTCTCAGGTAATTCAGTTCTGGCTGGGGAAGCAGCCCAGAAGCCACAAAAGTGATGTCTCAATATAATTGTCAGGAAATCCCAGATCTGCCCCAGAGTTGATGTATGGCCTTGGGAAAGGCTCCTCACCAGTTTCCTTTCTGCTAAAATGAGTGGTGTCTGGGGTCCTGTCCAGTTCCGCCACTCTCTGCTGAGACCGCGTGATTCTCCAAGCATCAGGGCTCTCAAAGTCTCCTTTTCCCAAGCCCACCCACTTCCCCAGGATCTCCATTAGCTCCAGCCTTGGCCCCAGCCTTCCCAGCTCCCACGCCGGGGCTGGGGGCCCACAGGCTGGCATTCCTGCCCGGATTCCCACACCCTCCTCGCCTCAGCCTTCTCAACCACAGTGTGCTCGTGGCAGGAGGCAGGGGGCAGAGGAAGCCGGTAAGTCAGGCTGTCAGAACTGGCTCTGCCGGTTCCTCCTTCCATGTAACCACAGTGTCAGCACAAGCCCAGGCCAGAGTTTGGCTAGATCCAAATCCAGCTGCTGCTGCACTCTCTCCAGGTGGACAAGGCACGGGGCTTTCCTGCAGGAGCCTAGGCCGGCTGCTGGGTTTGCTGAAGTCCCTCCCTTCTTCCCTCTCCCTCCAGCGGGGATCACACCTTCTTTCACAACAGCCATCAGGCCCATGGGAACAGCCTTGTCCCTGCCAGCAGGGACAGCACGCTAGGACTCAAGTGGATTTGGGAGAACAATAGCATTTGAGACTCAAAACAAAAGCTGGTGAGGTCCACCTGCCCCACAGACCCTGGGTGAGGTGACACTGCCCGCACCCACAGGGCGCCTGTCCAGAAGGGCTCTGGAAGAGAAGCTCCACCAGACCCCCCACCAACATCACCAGACTCGGCTTCTCCCCTCGGGAAAGGAGCGCAGGGGCCCTTAGCACCAGGGAGCCTCATGTAAAAACCTTAGTAATGGCGTGTCTGCGTGTGTGTCTGTGTGTGAGTGTCTGTGTGTGTGTGTGTGTGAGTGTGTGAATGCATGTGTGTAGAAGGGAATTAGATGAGCATTTCCCAGTTATTCCCACGGGATGTTCATAGGTGCTAAGTGATGAAGAAGGGCTAGGTTTTGGAAACTCTGGGCTAAATGAGGTTGAAGGGTGAGTTTTTTTTACTTGTGATTCCCGGAAGCTTTAACGTCCTAACATGCATCATAGCAGAGAAAGGAAGAGAGGAAGAGAGGGCGAGTGGGGTGACATGAAGCCCCTCCAAACTCGTCTCACTGAAGAACACTTAACAGAACACGAGTGGTAGGGAGAGCCCGTCTGGGCAACACTCAGAAGTCTAAGCTTACTTCCGAGGGCAGATTCTGGAATCCCAGGCAGAGGCCCTCCTGGAACATGGCAAACCAGACGGGCGTGGCCCGGGACAGACCTCTGTCCCTGCTGACAAGTCCGACTGTGAGGCCTTCCAGGGGAGTTCTGGCGTGTCCAGCTCCGGCCAGGTGGAGAGGCTGGAGGGCAGGCTGCTGTGAAAGTAGAATTCAGGATGGAAGACGGGAGTGGAGTCCATTTCATCATTGGCAGAATCTGAAACGCTCTCTCCTCTGTCCCCAGTCAGCCTGGTACCAGCTGACCCAGATCCCCGGAGTCTCCATCTTTTCAGGGATTGGAACAGCAAGGGTAACGTGGCTCGATAATCCTCAAGTGTCCTGCCTGCGTGGATGCCCGGGGATCTTGTTAAAATGCAGACCCTGAGACCTTACATTTCCACAGGCTCCCAGGCGGTGCTGTTGGTGCTGTCTGTGGATCACACTTTGAGTGGCGAGGTCCTACCAATCTCGGAAGGCTTCCTGGAAGGGCAGACCTACAAGAGAGGGGAGACTGGAGAGAAAAGATGCCAGAAAGCCAAGCTGGGGCTGCAGAATAATAAGAAAATGGGGAAAGACTGTGAACGGGAGGCGAGTTTGGAGGGATGGTAGGAACAAGGAAGCCAGCGTAGTCTGGGGGCACAGATCTTAAGGTTAGGTGGGAGGTATGGGTGGGAGGCACAGAGTGGGGGCTGGAAGATGGACACCAAGGTCGAGAGTTGGCAAAGACTCCCACAGGCCGCACAAGTGGGGTTGACAATAATCTGGCGAGGACCCAGGGACAACACCCAGAGTGAGCCCTAATTCCAAAGAAGAGGGGTGTGGTGACTTGGGCTCCATGTCACTCCTCTCTCCAGAGGAGACCTCTGACATCCTGGCAGGAGGTGAGGTGTCATCAGCACCTCCCCTGGCCTCCCCTCGCTGGTGGCTGCAGGGCCAGGCGGGAGGGGCTGACTCACCCTGCCAGCCAGCCCGTCTTCCCAAGACCCGCAGTCCCAGGCTTGGCTCAGGGAGGGAGGCGGCAGGAAGGAGGGGCCTGGCTACAGCCCGCCCTATGCCCCGGGCGTGGGAGGAGGGGGACCCAAGCTGGAGGAATCTGAGGGGAGGCAAGAGAGGGGTGGGCACCATGGGGCGGTGGGGGGGGAGTCAAGGAGACACACTGCGGGGGAGATCCTTTCTACCTGCTGTGTATCCCAGAGACGCTAGCAAACACTCACATGCACCAGCACCACCTCGTGGCAGCCACGGTTCTGAGCACTTGTATTTACATAAGCTCATTTCATCTCACAGCAGCCCAGTGAGGTGAGTATCATCCCCATTTTACAGATGGAGAAACTGAGACACAGTCGCTTGGCCTGGGTTCCTCAGTGAGTACGCACCAGGTAGAGCTGGGATTGAATCCAGGGCATCTGGCCTCAGAGTCTGTGCCTTTAAACGTGTTCCAGGAAACAACAGATTCTGGGGCACAGGAAACCTCTCTCCACTCCCTACCACCTCCCCGCCACCCTCTGGCCAAGCGGGAGGCAGAATGGGCTGCCAAAGGCAGGACAACAGGACCACTCCGCCAGGCGTGGCAGGGCAGCCCAGTCCCTTTCTTGGGAAAAGCTCCTTTTCAACTGGGTCCCCATCGTTCATTCAGGGCACTGCAGCCCTGGCCTCTCCATCCCACCAACTGAAAATTCTGTGAACCTTTAGGGTGTCAGATTCTTCAGAGTACCAAATATCCAGCTGCCCTGCTGGGGAGGGTGGGTGGGCGGCCCAAGCTCTCTGTTAACCCTTTCCAAGCAGCAAGATGATCTCCGGCCTTTTTAGACACTGCGTAGATGTAGCCTGACTAGTGCAGCCTGGACTCCCTGAGGATGAATGTCCATCATTCATTCATTCATTCATTCTTTCAGCAGGTACTGAGTGCCCCCATGTGCCAGTCACTCTCTCGATGCTGGGGGTTCGTCAGGGAGCAAAGCAGACAGTTCCTGGATCTCTAGGAGCTTACAGTGAAGTGGAAAGAGACAGAAAAAACAAGATAAATAATAACGTGAAAGACGGTGAAAGCACTAAAGAGAAAAATAAAGCAGAGGAGGGGCCAAAAGGGCAGGTGGAGGGAGGGGGGACACAGGCAGCCTTGGTGGGCAGGGACGGCCCCTGAGGGGGTGGAGTAAAGACCTCCGGGAGGGCAGGTCTGACTGAAAAGCTCATTTGCTCTGGGGAAGCCCTTCCCTGCTTGGTGGGGTTCTAGAAAATATTCCCAAATTTTCAGCCACTTTTGATTCTTTCAACAGTCACATCCAGTTATTAGGACTCGGTCCTAGTCCAATTCAGATTCCAACCCCACGCTCAGTTCACAGCACCCCGCTCCCCGTGCCCAGCCAACTCCACTGGGAGGAGGGGCGCTCCGTCACATGCCCCTTTTCCGCATGGCCCCTCTCATGTTCAGGTGGGCTGCCAAAGGGAAGGAGGGGCTCTTCCTCAGCCCCTAGGTGTCCCATCCCCTGCGAAGAGGCTCCTCTTCCTCACTGTCTGTAGGCTCAGAGGGGGTCAGGGGGCCCCAGGAGGCCTGTGGGGAGCGGACAGTCCCAAAGAGCAGATTCTAGCACCGGTTGTCTCCCACTGGACTCACCAGACCTGCAGCTGTGATGTGCCCACCTCTCTTCAGGACACTAAACTGTCCCCCCCAAGGCCCCACGTCACACTCCCAGACCCCTCTTATAGTTCGCCACAGTCAAGCCCCCCAGCCTGCCTTCTCTTGCCCTGGGGGGCGGGGGGGGAGTGGCTACTTTGAGCCTTTCTAGGACTTACAGTAACCTCGACCCCATTCTGTCACCTCCAGAAAAAGCCACACCTCCCCTAACCTTGGCGGCCGACCCCCTGGTCAGCAGCCCACTCCCATTTCTTCCCACTCCTGATCTCCTCGGGCGCAGGGAGGAGCTTTGAGCCCCATCCCAGCCCCACCTCCAAGCTCCATCAAACCTCACAACCCAGAAGCAGTCACCCCTGGACATCCCTTGGGTTTGGGGGTACACACACGAGTGGTCTGCCCTCTGTGGAGTGGTCTGCCCTCTGGAAGATGCCCCCCAGTAGAGGCCTCACAGGCCCTGGATTATGCCTCGTGAGCCATGTGGCAGGAACCAGGGGTCCACGTACCCTGAGTGTGGCCTAGAGCAGCACTGTTGAAAGTGGGGGTGCTGGTTCCAGTCCAGGACAATGTGAAGAGCTTGTAGAATGCAGACTGGCTATATCACTAAGTGGCTACATAGTTCGCCATTTTCTTTTTGGTAGGAAGACTTTCCTGATGAAGAAAGCAGTGGGTAGATTTATATTCTGGTGCAAATTCCCTATCTCACTGTGGCAAGTCTGGTTTAGAGCGGGCTGGGTCTGGGTGGGCATGTGCCTTGGGCCTGCGGACTCCTTGTCCCATGGGGAGAGGCCCAGCCAGAGGAGAGCCAGAGTGGGCCTTTAGAACAGGGGCCCAAGGAGCCAGCCCACCTCCCTGGCTCATCTGCTATCAGCCCTCTTTCAGCCCCTTGATCACACCGAGCTCTCCTCTGCTCCCAACATTGACACTCTCTTCCCCTGCCTGACCCCTGCTAATTCTCTAGGTGCCAGCTTATAACCGAGCAAAAAGGGGCTCATTCTGCCCGCTGCAATCCAGTGCCAATCAATAGCAAACAAGTCGGTGGTTGAGAAAGGAAAGCTTATATGATCAGCCAGCATAATGGGAAGATGGTGGACTGGTGTCCTAAAGAACCATCTTGAAGTCATACAGAAACTTGAGGCAGTTATACAGGGGAAATGGGCAGGGAAGGAGAGGGTTAGGGATGTCGACTATCCAGTGTGATGAACTTCAAGGAGCCACATTAGCTCTTTCTTCTGTCATTCGTGACGGGTACCAACACAGAATTTTTCTTTCTGGAGGTCATCACTTTCCTTTGGGACTCAGAGAACAAAGTTATCCTTATCACAGCTGGGAGATATATGTGAGCAAGAGTCAGAGAATTAGCAGATCATGTAATTTGCAAAAGTGAGAGGTGCTTAATCATCTAGGCTACGTGCAGGCTAGAGTGCTTTCTCAGAGACTGGTGAGTCAGGATCACAGTTACAGTATTGCTTCCTTTCCCTAAGATGGCTTCCCTCATGCTAACCTAAGATCTAACTGTTACACGCTCAGTGATGGGTTCCCCAAGGAAGCCATCCCTAACCCAACCCCTCCATTTAAATTATGTCCACCCCGTTATTCTTTCTCACGGCGAGCTGCTCTTCTCCTTGGGATTTCTCTTTACGATCTGAAACACACGCATGTGTCTGAGCGTGTGCGTGGACATGCATGTGTATACCTATATCTATATCTTCTATCTATTCATTGGTTTAATGTCTGTCTAATCTCTCTGGCCTCCAGCCTGTGAATGTAGGGAGCAGTCTTGGTCTGTGCTGGTTATAACCCGAACAACCTGCCAGAGCCTGCCATAGTGTGTGTGCCCAGCAAACGTGTGCTGGGTTTACCGATGACGGATGAATTAGTGAATGAGCCCTCACACAGAAACATTGGTGACCGAGCAGACTTGAAGCCTACACTGATATCACAGGGGTGAGGTAAACGTCGGAACTTTCAAGATCAAAGTGCTTCTTTCTCTAGTTTCCATTGATCTGTTTTTGTTGACGGAGCTTTGACAACGATAAATGACGATACAACTCTAATTTGACCCTTTTACCATATTTCCCTGCCTGTCAATATTTGATACTGAAATGATCAAATCCTACAAGATCTGCGGAATGAGAATGGCTTCCTCCTTCCCTCGTTCAGTGTGTATGGAGGGCACTGGGAACTGGGGATGAACAAGCCAGGGCTCCGGCCCCAGGAGCACCCAGTCTAGATGGGAGAGATGAGGAAATCCCCACATCTGAGTGGGTGAGACCCAGGTTAACCAGCCTGTCATCTTATCTGAGCCAGGAGCAGCCTGAGATCCTACCCTCCTCATCCTGGACTGCCCAGCTGAGGGACCCAAAGTTTGCAACAGACGGACCTGAACATTATTCCACTCAAGGTCTCCGATGATAAGGGTTGACACACACATAATTTGCATTTTATAGGCAGAAATTATTTGAATATTTGTTGGCTAAAATGCAGAAGCAATCTTTAAAATATTCTTTTCTTTTTTTCTGTCAGATACCCAATTTAATTTGGTAGAAAGCTTACTATGCAAATAATAAAAAAACTGTAATCAAAACAATCAGGATTCTGCACCATGTGACCTTGGATGAGCCTCCTGACTTCTCTGAGCCTCAGTTTCCTTGTGTATAAAATGGAGATTTTACGTAGGCCCTAACCCTAACTTTACGTGTTGCTGTAATTAGAGAACAGGTGTAAATTTTGCAGTACAGTGCCTGGGCACACAGTAGGTGCCTAATATGTGCAGGCTAGTACCATCTATTAGTGTCAACATATAATACTAATGTTATTAATGCTTGTAAGTTATGCCCAGTCTCTGCAGCAGAGTCCACTGCTCACCACTCACTCAGGCCCTAGGAGGTGGGAGCGGTGAGGCCAGAGGGGTCTCTGTGTCAAGTTCAGAGGGAAACACTCTGCTGTCTATTACCCCCAAGCAGAAATGCAGTGACCTCCTCCTTCATCCTCACCGCCCTGCACCCCCCGTTGGCAGTCTCCTTCGGGGAATTGGCAGGGTAAGGGTGTGCCAGGAGCGGAGATGGGTGAGGCAGCGCATGCTGAACAGGTCCCCTGACCCCTGTCTGCCAGCCCAGCACAACCTCAGCAGGATCTCAGCCCTGGAGCAGCCTGGGAATCGCACCACCTCTCTGCCGCCCTCCACTTTCCTGAAGAGCAGCCCCGGCCCTGCCCGCCTCCTCCGGGTGTGCGTTGCCCAGGCCTGACTTGACAGGAAAACTGCCCTGGGATTGAGGTGTGCTGAAGGTGTGGTTGCTGTCGCTGAGGCCGGCGCCCAGTGTGGGGCTGCGGGGTGGGGCTCCCCCTGGGGCCGAAGCGCTTTGCACAAGCGTGGAAACGTTTTTCTCCTGAGTCTTCAATTGAGAGCAATTTAAATTCCTTAGCTGTTGGGGTGGGGGCTGAGAACCGAGGATGAGCAGGTGGGTGGGGCTGAGGCTCCGGTAACCATGCCAGGGAGGGATGGTGGGGCTGGGCACCCAGATCTGGTTGCTGTGAATCACAAGCCCCGAGTGGACGGGCCTTCAGTGTGGGGGTCTCCAGGCAGCACGAGGGGCATTGTCCGAGGAAGGAGCAGAGTGACGCAGAGGTGGGAGAACACGAGACATTTTGGGGCACACAACCAGCTACTCCCCCTGCAGGACAGTAAGATCGCGGGTGGACTGCGCGGGGCCCTGAAGCATCGCCGCCCTCGGGTCAGGGGCCGTGCCGCTGCTGGCACTGAGGCCAAGCCCCTGCCCACCCTGGGTTCACTCTCTGCAGCGTCGAGGCGGGACCCACTGGCAAAACCAGGACAGGTGCTTACCTGGTCCACGGGGCCCCACCACCACCCTGGTCACGAGAAGGGCTGTCATCCCCCGAGAAGGAGGAGGCTGCCCGACTGTGCTCCTCCGCTCTGGGCAAAGCCCCTCGAATGCCCCATTTGCAGCTCCCTCCAGAGCCCCCTCCAGGCTGGCCTCCCCGTGCTGGACGTGCATGTCCCCTCTCAGGCCCTGCGGCTTCCTAGGGGCAGGAAGGCCAGCCTCGCAGGCTGACGGGCACAGGACAGAGGGGCTGCCGGGAGGGGCTGCCGTGTCCCTGGGGGTACAGGGGCGGAAGGGAGCAGAGCCGAGCCCCTGAACTCATGCCCTGTGCCCTGACCCCCAGTCCACCTCCAGCCGCTCAGGGGGGCTCTGATTCTGACGCAGGCACTGCAGTCTGGGGAGACTTGGAGGGCTCCTCAGTCAACAAGGTCCACGTGCTGGGAAGAGCCCCCGCTCTGGAGCCAGGACCTGGGTTCAAATCCCCCCTCTGCCACTTGCTAATGACGGGCCCTCCACACGTTGCTCAAACCTCTGAACCTCAGTTTCCTCATCTGCAACATGGGGATGTGACCTGGGGACCGTGGGGGTTGGGTGGAGAGAAGCTAGTAAAGTAGCCAGCACAGGGCCTGGCATGGGGGCCAGGAAACACACGGGGGCATGTCGTTGAGGAGGAGGGGTGAGTTTGCCCCGATCAGCAGCATTTTGCCCCAGTTCCCACCCAGTCTTCCTCCTAGTAGAGCCAACAGGCAGGCTGGACTTTTGGGGGAAGCCAAGTCCAGAGAGGCACGGCCACTGCAGTGGCGCTGACTCCAGCCTGCTCTGCCCTGCACTCCGGCCAGGCCCCAGCCCCAGCCTGGGCCAATCCGAGAGCCTGCCCCTGAGCCCAGCCACCGGTCCCCACCCCGGGGCGGGTTCTGCCCCACCCTTTCCAGAAACCAGGCTACAGTGTCGGGGTGGAGCCCCGCCTGGGAGCAAGTTCTATTACCTCTGTCCAGCAGTGGCACAGACCCGGGCCAGCCGCCGGGTGGGACAGTGGGCAGCCCCTAGTGGTCTGGTCAGGGAGCAGGCCTGACCCTGGTACCCAGGGAGAAGAGAGGCTTCTGGGGGCTCCGTAAACCACCCCCACAGGAGGGCCCAGCCAGGACCCAGCATTGCTGCCCCACCTTCCGCAGACCTCGAGCCCTTGAGCGGGGCTGTAACACGTTACGTCCAAAACAGCACTAACAGCAGCCACCATTTGTTACACACTTACACACGCAGAGACCACACCAGCTACACACATGGCATATCTTTCAATCTTCCTCACAAGCCCCATTTTTCAGAGAAGGACCTGGAGCACAGGAGGGGAAGGAAGCTGCCCAGAGTGGCAGGCTGGGAAGTGGGAGGGCCAGGCCTTCATGGGAGGAAGCCAGAGTGGAGATTCGGAACAGGGGGCTCCAACCAGAGAGCTGAGCTTCAAGGCAAGCAGGCCCCCAGGGAGCCAGCCCACTGCCCCTCTCAGCTTTCCCACCTGCAAAGCGGGCACAATGTGAACGTGCTCTGCCCACAACACGGTCATTTGCAGAGAGAATCTGACAGCAGGACGGGGAACGGGCCTCCACCTCTCTGACTCCAGCACAGAAGAGTTTGAAGGTCTATTCCCGAGCATATGGGTGCCCCCAGGGTGCCGAGAGACACGAGGCCAGGGGCGCCTGAGGCAGCAGGAGGTGGGGAACAGGAGGAGGGTGGGGCCTGGGTGTGCAGGGGACGGTGGGCTCAGTGGGGGCCAGGGTGTCTGGAGGGCATTAGTCCCCCCACTGCAGCCTCCCCCAGCTCTGAGTGGTCAGGAGGCCCGGGCTGGCTCGCAGCCCTCCCTGCACCTTCAGAGTGTGGCTCTGCTCCTGCTGCATGGTAAGCACCAGAGAGGTGGACGTGATGAAGAACTGAGGAGGGGGGAGCCGGCCTCTCAGTACCTCGTCGCTCATGAACCCATCGCACTGTGTTTCTGTGCACAAGTCCGTGGTCCCTCCGCTCCCTACGAATGTCGTGGGGAGAGCACAGGACCCCTTAGCCTGAGGCCCACGCCCTTTACTGTTGGCTTGGAAGGGCCCCCTGCCTGGGGCCGATGGCCCAGGTATGCTCCTGCACCCTGACACCCACTGGCTCTCTCCGTGGAGAGTGGGACAGGACGGGGCCACCTGCCCAGACTCTTCACTGATGGCCACATGCTCCAGCTCCGTGCACACCAGGCGTCAGCAGGCTCCCGACTAGGGCAGCACTCGGGCCGACCGGTGGTGTTCTTTCTAAGGTGCTGGCGTGGGGACCTGGCCTGGGTGCCAGAGTCGGAGCACGGTCGGCACTGCATGGGGACAGCATCTGGGGCACTCAACAGATGGTTCCTGAACACCACGTGACCCCAGGAGGAAGGAGGTGAGTGGGACCCGGGCTCAGGGCAGCACAGAGTGAGCCCTCCAGGGCCGCCCATGTGCCCTGCAGCACATGGTTCTTAAAGGAACCGCATCTCCTAGGGCACAGGGCTGATCATGGGGCTGATCCTGCTGGGAGAGGAGGCGCAGCAGACAGGACCCAAGACCCCGCCAGGGTCGCTCTTGCTGCTCCAAGGAGATGCTGAGACATAGGAGGGAGAGCCCCTGTGGGGACTTGATAAGGACTTGATGGTGGTTGGAAAATTCTGGTGTCCCCGTCCTGGACATGCTGCCCTTCTTTCTGGTGGCAGGTGAGGGTGGGGCTGTGGCGTCTTGTCACAGGGAGAGGGGCTAGGGCACTGACTCAGCTGCAAACTGGGGAGAGTGGGGCTGGGGCCGCGCCCAGGAGCTGCCGTGGATCTCCCAGGGGCAATGGTGAGTGCCCTCCGTGGGCCCAAGGCTCTGCCTCCTGCCTCCCTGCCCTCTTGGGCACGTGCAAGGGGGCCTTCTCATCCCCCAACAGAAGACCTGGGGTTCTGTGGTGACTGTGCCTCTTCAAACACCAGGCGGCTCGTGCTTCCAGGGCTGAGGGTGTGCTGTTCCCTCCTCCCTTCTCTGAAAGTCTTTGACTTTCCCCTCCTCACTCTGGGACTCTGTGTGGACACCTTTTCCTCCAGAAAGCCCTCCTGCCTGCCAAGGCCAGATGGGTGCCCCTGGTCTGTGCTTCCCCTGCATCCTGGGCCCCCCTGCTGTCACCCTGAGCTGGAATCTTCCATTGCTGCCTCCCTCTCCCACCGGGCTGCAAGCTCCGTGTGGGCAGGTTTGTGCCTTCCAGATCACAGCGTCCCCTGCCCCTGGCACTGTGCCCTGTGTATATTTGGTGCTTGGGAGATACTTACTGAATGAGTGAGTGAGTGAGTGAATAAGAAATGAGGCCACGACCCCAAGCTAAGCCCCTCCCAGCTGCCCAGGGACGATGGCCTTTTCTTCTCTGTATGACCAGCATCTATGGCAGAGCTTGGCACACAGCATGGGATGAATAGGTCTGTGTTGTTTCTGGAGAGGACGAGGGGCAATGCCTGGAGGGACAGACCATCGAACATTAGGTGGTATAATGGTGACAGCCGTTCTAGCAGGGTCCAGGGTGCCCAGAGCAGGGAGAAACGGATTCACTGTGCCTGGAGGAGCTGCGGAGCCTTCTACACACAGGGCTCCCTGAGCTTCTTCGGGCAGATGATGAGTGGAGAATGGGAGGAGGCCTCCAGGCAGAGAAATAGCCTGAGCAAAGGCTCGGAGCTGCGGGAGGCCGGCCGGCCGAGGTCAGCGTTGCTCTGGACAGGTCCCTCAGCCCACATCCCTTCCCTGTCCTTCTGCCAACTGGGACCAGTGCCGCCATGCTGTCCTCTTCACTCAGGGACTCCAGGGACCCTGGTGTGTGGTTCAAGCCCCAGAGGACCCTCTGGTCGTGGGAAGGGGGGAAACTGAGGCACCCAGACTTGTGCGCACCTCCTGGCAGCGCTGCAAGGAAACTGGCCCTCCTTCCTTCCCTCAGGAGCTGCGGGCCCTCGGACGCCTCCTCTAGCGCCCTGGCCAGGACGAGAAAGCAAGCAGGCCGCCCAGAGAGGCTGCATTGTTCCCAGGAGTGACTCACGCAGGGATGGCTCCGTCCCCACTCGTGTGCGGCTCTCGGTGACTCACAGAGGCTGACAGCACAGCCCTTTCTGCCCTCTGCCCCCCTCCCCCTCCAAGCCTGGGCTCTGGGAAAGCGTGCATTCCCATCAGCCTCTCCCTGCCCGGAGCAGACGGGAGGGGGCCGGACAGGAGGGAGCTCCTTCAGGTTTGGAAGATACCAGGGGCCCGTGTCCTGAGGGTCTGCTGTCTGCCCTGACCTCCTGTGAGAGCCAGGTCTGCCTCAGTTTCTCTCCCTCTGAAGGGGAAGTGACAGAAAGGCCATGCGGTGTGCAGCTGCCTTTTATTACTGGCGTGGTGTGGGCACGTGGGGGTCAGGCACAAGTGGTGGCTTCCAGCTGGGCCAGCTCCTTGCATCCAGACAGGAGTTGGCCTCCGGTGCCCAGGAGCTGGGGGCATGCAGGGCAGGGACTCTGGAGGAGCAGGTCTTCTGTGAAGAAGGCTCGGCCTCTAAGGGGGCTGCTGCCTCTACTTCCAGCGCCCAGTGACTTTGGCCTTCCCGCGGGTCTTGGAGCTACAGGAGGAGCAGGACCCATCAGAGGGGACACAGGGCAGGGCAGCAGGTCTCTACAGTGGGGGGGTGCTGAGGGGTGAGGGGCAGCCTGGAGCTGCCTCCAGAGGCAGAAGAGGGCAGCAGCCTCAGGCTACACGGGGGAGAGACGAAGGAGGTCCCGGAGGGAACCTGCACGCTGAGGAGAGGAGGAAGGGGTGGGAGCCAGAGCCTTCAGAGGAGGGCTGGCTGGGAGGCCAGGAGGGCGGAGGTAGGGGTGGGCGAGGGAAGGAGGGGCTCAGGTACTTACACTTTCTGGTTATCGTTGATCCTGTTCCGGAGAACGTTGATCTGGAATAAAAGTGGGAAAGACAGAGTCACACTGGGGCTCATTTGGTTCAGGTGCCAGGTGGCCTGGGGATGGGGGAGAAGGGGGCTCAGCACAGCAGTGGAGGATGGAGGAAGGGGGAGGGGGAAGGATGAGAGAGGAGGGGGAAGAGGAGAGGAAGTGGAGAGGAAGGAGGGGAAGAGGGGAGAGGAGGGAGGGAGGAGGGGAGAAAAAGAGAGGAAGAGGAGGAAGAAGAGGGAGGAGGAGGGAAGAGGAAGGGGGAGGGGGATGTGGGGGGAGGGGGAGGAGGAGGGAGAGGAGAGGAAGACAGAGGACGAGGGAAAGAGGGGGCAGTGCGGTGAGGGTTGGAACAGTTAGGGGTCCAGAGAGGCCAAGGTCGCAGAAGCCAAGGACCGGCTTCCTGGCCACCCCACTGGCCTCAGTGGGTGACGGTGCAGGGGCGGAAAGGGGTCTGCGGGTGGTGGTGTGGGACCCATCACAGCAGGAGGCGCATGGGATGGGGGGCGGTGGCCGCGCACTTCGTATTTCTGCTGCTTGAACTTCTCCTGCAGGTCGAACTTCTCGGCCTCCAGGTTATAGATGCTCTGCCACAGTTCCTTGGCCTTCTCCCTGCAGGGGCCAAAGGGGGCAGTAAGGAGGGCTCTCACCTGCCTTCATCCTGACCCTGACCCAGCCCCCAGGGGACCCAGCCTTCCTGCCCACGCCCAGGCCTGCTGAGGGCCCCCCGCCCCCGCGCCTGGCTGAGCAGGGCCCAGATGGCTGTGCCCAGTGCTTAGGAACAGACACCAGGGGCTGCCAGGACAGAGTTCTGGGAAGGCGGAGGAAGGGGGAAGCCCTTCAGCACCGCAGAGCATCTGGCTCAATCCCCCTGCCCACCACCTGTGAGCAGGTGGGTCAGGTGAATCTTGGGGAGGAGAGATGAGGGGCCTGCTCAGTTCTCTGTCCTGCCCAACAGGCCCTGGGAAAATATGTGAGGTGGCAGCGCCCCCTGGTGGTGGTGCCGAGCCCTGCCTCGCCCCGGACCCCTCCTGGTGCGGCCTGGAGCACCACCACAACCGGCCCCACCTCAGCTGATCTTCATTCAGGTGGTCGATGGCCAGCACCTTCCTCCTCTCCGCCAGAATCTTCTTCTTCTTTTCCCGCTCCGTCTGCCTCTTCCCACTTTTCCGCTCCGTCTGGAGGGGGTGACAAGCAGGGAGAATTGGCTGGAGAACACACCCTTCACCCCTGATCCTCCCAGAACCCAGTGGGAGTTAGGCAACGCCTGCAGAAGGACCAGGTTCTGATCCTCTTCTTCCTGCAGCCCCCACACCGTCAACTGCCTGGATCCCCAGAGACAGAGTCCGGGCAAAGAGGGACATGCCAGCCCCCTCTTCCTCTGCCTCTCCAATCTTCCATCTCTCTCCGGCGTCTTCCTCCCACTTTGCCCAGTCTCCACGCCTCCCCTCCAGCCAGGCGCCTTCTCCTCCCGGGGAGCCCCCAAAACCATGAGGAGGAAGAGGGTTTGAGGTTTGGTACCCACCTCGGCCTGCAAAGCCAGGACAGCATGAGAGAAAGACCCAGAGAGAAAGACCGAGACCACGACAGAGACAGAGAGAGGGCAGGGCACAGAGCAGAAGACAAAGGCGGAGAGACAGGGGGAAGAAGGAGAAGGTGATCAGTGCTTGTGGTGGGCACCCTCGTCTACTGGGACATGACCTGGTGCTAGGGCAGTGGCGACTGTGACAGCAGGGCCTCACCAAGTGTGGCTGGTACGGTCACCGTAGGGGCGGAGGCAGGGGGCTGGCCTCATGCTGAGCTGGGGACTTTGGAAATCTAAGGAAATGTTCTGATCCCTCCACAGCATAGAGAAAATCAATTTATAGCTCCCCTCCTCCCTGGAGGATAGAGTATTTAGTAGGAGAGGGGCGTGAAAACTAGGAATTGAGAGGGATCTCCCAGGAATAAACTGCCTCCTCCCATCTGTGGACATATGGATGCTTTCCATGTTAGCTGATCTGATCTTCTCAAGGCAGGCAGGGTGGACAGTGTCAACCTCACGTCACAGAGGAGGAGACCGAGGCTCCACACACAGCCGTCTGTGCAGAGCCGAGTCCCCACCGGGGCTCTGACTGCAGCTCGGGCTCTCCAGCTGCACCCCGCTGCCTGAGGTTCCTGGGCACGCTGAAGCCAGGGGTAGGCAGGAGCATTGGCGTCCCGCCTCGGCCCACGGGACCACCCTAGCAGCCCCTCCGAGCGAAAGCTGCAGTCAGGCTGAGCGAGCTCAGGGGCAGGGCGAAAGGAGGCCTGTCTCTCACCCACAGCACCTGGGAACTTCTTTCTGGGGTCCAGCCTCCGGTCTGTCTGCTGCAGTGGACACCTCATCCTTGTGATACATCGGGACCCCCTGAAGACCTCTGCTGCCCTCACCTACCTTCTGTATGTAGCCTCCAAAATGTATCATGTTGGACAAAGCCTTCTTCTTCCGGGCCTCGTCCTCGGCCTTCCTCCGGTTCTCCTCCTCCTCTCGCCGGGCCCGCTCCTCCTGGTTTACAGCAGGGAGCAGAGAGCAATTAGGGGCAGGGGCGGGACATCTGGGTCTGGGCTGAAGCTGGTGGTCTTTACGGGTGAGCTGGGCAGGAAGCTTCCCGAGGATGCCCCCCACACAGGGCCTGGCACTCAGCTCTGAAGACTTGTGCATTGAATGAGTGACAAGCGACCAACTGAAGTAATGCAGTCCTGATGCCTGAGTGTGAGGCCCATCACCCCAAGGAGGCCTGTGGCTTCTGCAGGGCCTCCGGCAGCAGCGCAGGAAGAGGGCTACGGGACCTTCAGTTCCTGGGTAGCCCGCCCTCGGCAAGGGATGAGGGTGGAGGGTCTTTTAAATCCTAAGCTCACGACGACCCAGGCATTCCTGTCTCCTTCACTGGGGGTTATCAAAGCCAAAACGATGCCCAGAGTTCTTGCTGTCTCTTGGCTGAATCAACATCTATGAATTGAGAGAGGCCTGGGGGCCTGGCAGGAGCTGGGAGTGTGTCGGGGTCTCTGCGGGCCTGGGGCCGGGGGTCACTCACGGCCAGGCGGGTCTGACGCTCCTTCTCCCGCTCATTCCGGATACGCTGCTGCTCGGCCCGCTCGGCCCGCCGTTTCTCCTACAGAGAAAGAGTCCAGGCCTGCCCAGTGTGCACGGGGAGGAGGTGTCATCAGGGGTGCAAGGACCAACTGGGGAAAGAGGTGGCATGAGAACCCATGGGGGCTTTTCCCTCCAGAGTCTCAGGGCCGTGACGGCCCCTCCTCCAAGGGCCTCCGAGCTCAGCCAGCCCTCAACAGGTGGGCCAGCGCAGAATGCCCTGGCTAAATAAGGACGGTCCAGGCCGGGCATGTGCAGACGACACACACCGAGCGTTACTCATGGTGGGACTGTCCTCAACAATTTGAAAAATGTCAGGCAGGCTTTTTCTACCCCTCACGAGAGCCACGCCCCACAGCTGCTCTGTGCTCAGAGATAGACGGCCAAGTCCTCAGCCACCAGCCAGAGCAGCATGTCGCTGGTGGAAAGGCCAGTCTGGTGGAGAGAAATAAAAGGAGTCAAAGCAACCTCTCACTACCCTGCAGAATGATTTTGGATTCTCGAGGCCACACTCACCCTCCTTTCATGGGGGGGAGTTGTGCCCAATGGGAGGGAGGCAGGGGCAGGGCTGGGACAGCTGGGCCTGGGGGGGCCGGAGACGAATCGACTCAGCTCCAGCCGTCAAGGAGCGTCCAGTCTGGTGGGGAGGGAAGGCAGGGACCCAAGAAACCACAGTGCAGGGTCTCAAGAGTGGCTCCTGGCTGCAGGTTCCTGATGGAGAGCCCGCTTCTAGCAGAGAGAGGGGCAGGCTGCCTGGAGGAGGTGGGGCCTCAGGGTAGAGGGTGGAGGACAGGCTGAGGCATCAGGGAGCATTTCCCGGGGAGACTTGACACTTACAATCCTGTCTTTGAGAGAAACGAGCTCCTCCTCCTCCTTCTTCCTGTTCTCGAAGTGAGCCTCGATCAGCGTCTGCAGCTCGTTCAGGTCCTTCTCCATGCGCTTCCGGTGGATGTCCTGTGGGGCCACTGGGGCTCAGAGGCCACCACACCCCACGGGCCCAGGGGAGGGACAGGTGGGGAAACACCACCCCCTCCATGCAAAAGGCCTCTGGCAGGGCCTGAGGTCTGGCCAGGGAAGGGGCCACTGCGGTCACCAGCCTGCCTGCCATCTTCCCCAGCCCACAGGGTCATAAGGTCTTTCTCCCTTGTGCCCATCCCCAGCCCGGCCTGCTCTCCCCGAAGCCACCACTCACGTCAAAGTCCACTCTCTCCCCATCGGGGATCTTGGGTGGCACCAGGTTGGGCATGAACAGCCTGTTGGGGAGACGAAGGAGGACTCGTGAGCATCGAGCCCTCCCTGGACCCCAAGGACTGTGCAGGCTGGGGCAGGCCAGGCCCTTCTCCTTCCTGCAGAAACACGGCCGCACGACCCCACCAACCCCCACAACAATAGTACCACCGACATCACAACAGGGGCTCACGCTTGCCCAGCTCCTCCACGCCCATCATTTCATTTTATCCTCAAAATACACCTGGGAAGTAAGTACCATTAATCTCATTTAAGAAACCGAGGCCCAGAGAGGTCGTGACTTGCTCAAAACCACACAGCTAGGAAGCAGAGAAGCTGTGACCAGGTGACATGCTTGTCCAACTCCCGATCCCTGTGGTTGACCCCATGAGCCAGGAGTCCTGCATCTGGTCCCCCCCAACTCACACCTGCTGTGTGACACCAGGCCCAGTGGGCTTCCCCATCTGCATTCCCGTCTGTGTGGGGCTGAAACGAGAGCCTGCAGGGGACGAACAAGCGGCCAGGACAGGGAAGGTGCTGGACAAAGGGATGCAGCTGGACTGTCATGGGCCTGGGCTGGTTTCAAGCGTCTGGATGACGTGGGAAGACGCCTGCGAGTGTGCTGGGGCGCCATCAGCTGGCGCGTTTTGGCATCGCCAAAAAGGAACTAACCCTCACTGGCCGGCACCCCACCCCAACACCCACAGCTTCCAGGTGGTTTCGCCTGTGTGGCACCAACTTGCCCTGCTCTGCCCCTCGGTGACTCTTTGAAGCCACCATGCCTGGGCTGGCATGGTTTCAAGGCTTGGCTACCACAAATTTCCTTCCATCTTCCCCCAGGTCCCACCTCAGCCATGGAGGAGGGTGTTCTAGCTATCCTGTGGGATACAAGCAGGTGTCTGCCTAGGGCCACGACTAGTCCATCATTTTCCTCTAGATGAACACAGTGCTGTCTGTGCCAGGACGTGAGATTGGTAATGGAGTGTGGGGTGGATTTCAGCCCCCACTCCCCCACCCCCAAGCAGAGACTCTTGTGCAGTACACAACCTGTAAAACTGCACATGGTGGTCTGTGCCTGCCCCATCCCCAGCCCATGCCCACTGTCCCACACTGCTCTCCTATCCTGTCCTGATCATCCTCCCTCACTGGCCCTCTGCTCCCAGGGCTTCACCTCATGTGTGTCCCACTCACCTGGGCTTGGGTTTGGACTCCTCCACTGGGCCATCTGGAGAGGAGAGAAGCACACAGCCACAGGGTCAGGAGGCCCTGGATCTGGGCCTGACTCTGCCCCTGAAGAGCTGGGCACCTGTGGGCTTCTGTTTCCCCATCTGCCCAGTGAGTCTCTTCCAGCCTGTGGACCCTAGTTCCAGGAGCATCAAGGAAAATGACAAGCCCCCCGCTCTCCCTGTCACAGGGGCTCTGGGACGCCAAGTCCTGGCAGGGAACCCACACACACAGTGTGGACCGTGGAGGCTTCTCTTGTTCACCGTTCTGGGCGAGGTGGTTTTGCCCTCTTGGCCACGTGGGGTGGGGTCCCATGGCATGGTCCCCGGGGTCCTGGCCCCAGAATCCCCTTCCAAACCCTTGCCTCCTCAGCTGCCTCCTGGACTTCCTGGCGGCCACAGGGCCAGGCAGCTGATGGACAGGACCGCAAGCCCCAGCCGGCTGCCCCTCTCCTCCAGAGGTGTGACTGGGCCCACCCGACCCCTGGTAAGGCTGCAGTGTGACAATGACCACAGTAGTGACCCACACGGACTTCTATGTCTTGGGATTTCATCCTCCAGACACCACCCCACAAGTGATTTTCCTGAGCTCCAGAGGCCTCGTGTGTGGATGTGACTCCTGGGTGCCCTGCCCAGACTGGGGACCAGACAGTGGCCCCCTCTCCCACTGGGCACCACTCCGCAGCTTCTCCGGAACGAGGAAGGGCAGAGGTTTGGAGCCCAACATCCAGGTCCCGCATGGTCCCCAAGTTGTGTCCTCTCCCCCAAGCCCCCCCCCACCCCCGGAGACAGCCCTGTGGGCAGTCTCCCCCAGAGCTGCTTGGAGGGGCTCCCTCACCACCCCAGAACCCCTCTCCCGATGTCCACCAGTTCTTACCTTCAGCCTCTTTAGCTTCCTCTTCTTGTCCGTCTTCTAGACAGAACATGAGAAATCGGGAAAGGTCCTCATTCTGAGAGCAGGTCCCCCTGCCAACAGCCTTCCCCACAGATAGGTCCTAACTAAAGTGCACCCTGCTGGTTCTGGGGTCAGGGAGCTGTCTAGTCACACACACACACAGACACACAAGCACGCGCCGCTGGGCCCAAGAATCTGCCTGGCACAAAAGGAGCACACGGTCAAGGTTCATTGATCGGACAACTGATGGTTGAATCACCGCCCAGACAGGAGGCACAGTTGCACAGGGTGGAAAGCATGCTCCAGGTGGATTTCTTACTGCCGTAGGAATGGCGTTAGGGGCTCTCAGCAGCCCCCTAAGTACCATGACAGAGACCCTTGGACCGTCTCTGTCCCACCCCAGAGCCTCACCTTCTGCGTTGGCCTCCTCAGCCTCAGCCTCACCTTCAGCCTCTTCTTCCGCTGCCTCTTCCTGCTCTGGAGAAGTGAACCGGACACAGTGAACACCCAGGCCCCCGCTTGAGCCAGCAGGGAGAACCCAGAACGGGGGTGGGGGGGGGTGGGGGGGGGAATGGGGGTCAGCAACATCCAGGCTCCAGATGAACTTTGGGGTGACTGATGTGAATGACAGGGGGCAGCTCAGTGCTTGGTTTAAAGCAGAAGTCAGCCAACTGTGGCCCAAGGGCCAAATCCGGCCCCCAGAGGGTTTCTGTAAATAAAGTTTTCTTGGAACACAGACACGCCCATGCATCTACATACAGCCTGGGGCTGCTTTCCTGCGAAACGGCAAAGCTGAGCAGTTGCAACAGAGACTGTGTGGCCCTCAGAGCCTAAAACATCGAGGCTCTGCCCCTTTCCAGGATAGGTCTGCTGACCCCCGGTCAATCACACCACAAGGGCACGATGGCGACAAGTCCTTTTGTTTTAAACTTGCCTCTCTGGGGGTCTGGGAGTTGGAACTGGGCCTTTCCAAGTATGGAGACCTGTTCTCAACCCAGAGGCCGCTGGGAGGCTAGAAGCCAGGGGATGGGAGCGTGTTAGGAGTGGGGATGCTGTGGCAGCACCAGAGAAGAGGGGCCCAGTGAGCATCATTGCTGGGGTGGAGAGGTCCGTGTGCTGGCTCTTTCCGCCCGACTCAGCTCCCCTTTCCCCAACAGCCTCCCTGGCGATGCGACTCCACCCCATTCCCCAACTTTCTATCCCAGACGTTCCACCCAGGGATCTGGCACCCCAGGACTGCCCTGCTTAAGGTGAGGTGTCAGGGACGCTCCTGTCCTGGACCCAGTAACTCTAGAGACTTTTCATCTGTGTCTCAAAGAAACTGAAAAACAAGACTGGGGTCGGGGGGCGATGAGATGCCAACACACAGACGTCTGTGCTCTCTGGAGAGTCGGCAGGACTTTTCTGTTTCCATCTATTTGCTTGGCAGGATGTGGCCCCCACCCCAGCCAGGCACTTGGAGCAGACAGACAGGCAGATAAGACAGGGTGACGCCAGGCGCACAGCTCTGCCTGTGGAAAGAGCTTGGCCGCGCCTTTTGACCACGGGACTAACAGGTGGCTGCCTCCTGGCAGAGGAGAAGAAAAGCCTCCGGCTGGGAGAGAGGGGATGTCATGAGAGAAGGCTGGCCTCCATTCTCTCTGCCTCTGTGCTCTCTGTCCTCTTTTCCTGGGTCTGAGGCCTCCTCTTTGATCCCTGGAGGAGCCTTACCTCAAAGATCCTTCCAGAAGGGGTGAGAGTAGAGGTCTGGCCTGCAAGGGTATGGCCAGTTGTGGGGTCCACCTTCAGGCCATCTTGTGAACACCCCTCCCCACCCTGTCTGGTGCTTTGATTCTCTGTAGAATACCTCCCACCCCCCCGCAGTGGTGATGCAGCACCTCCAGTGACGGGGCCACTGCATCCCGGGCTGCCCACTGCGTCTTGAGACATCACTGTTAGAAAGCTCTTTTCAAATTGAGCCCAAGTCTGTCCCTTGCCCTGGTCCTGTCCCTGGGGACCGGGAGCCAGTCTGGGCCCCCACCCACGGCAGTGCATATTTGGAGGCTGACATCACCGCCTTCCTGCTCTGGCTATTTCCACTTCCCCCAGCTGCTCCTCAGATGACCTTGTCCCCAGGCCCCTCACGCCCTGGCCACCCTGCCTGGGTGCCGTCCAGCCTGGAGGGAGGGCCCAGCGCAGAACGCTGGCCTGTGCGGTGCGCGCCGAGCCGGGCTGCTCATTCCAGACATGAGGCCCCCCTGCGGCCACATTCGGAGCAGGTTGGGGGACGGCCCAGGGGAAAGATCTGGAACCAGGAAAAGGAGCTTGGCTCTGAGAAGGGACGTGAAGAAGAGCGCAGAATGGTGGTCCTGCCCTCTGAGGCCGGGAGGAAATGACTGACCCCTCCACATCCATCCTGCCGCCCGCCGCCCCAGGACGGCCCTCCACCAGCAGCCTGGCTCTCGGGACAGTGGGGAGCACAAGGCACAATGACACAAGAGCTGCACTACCGTCCCGGTCCTCTCTCCAGTCCTCCTCTTCTGAGGTGCAGGCAGCAGCAGCAGCAGCAGCAGCAGGGGAAGAAGTGAGACAGGTTAGTCTGGGAGCAGAATGGGGACAGGAGCAGCCGACAGCACAGGGCGCCAGAGTGAGGCCTGGAGTGGGGTGCGAGCCACGATTCCCAACCCAGTGCCTTCTAGCAGCCCGGGCAGCCCGCGTCCCGGGAACTTCCCAGGTGCCTCGCAGTGAAACGGGGATAATTACACTCACTGCTTGGCTGCTGCCAGGACCAATGACCTCGCGTGCACGGAGCGCCTAGCAGGTGCCTGGCATGCGGGAAGCACTCAGGAAGTGGTAACTGGCTGCTTCCTGTCCTGCCTCTAGACTATGGGGCCTCAGTTTCCCTCTAAGATAGACCCCAAAGAGCAGAGTGGAAACAATTCCCTCCCATCAAACTTCTCCCATGTTCCCGCCCTGAGTGAGCCTCGCAGACGCCCCAGGAAACATCTCCAGTTCCCAGGAGTCACAGTCCTGAGAGGCCCCCTGGGGGGCCGGCACAGGGAGATTTGCTGGTCTGTTGTAAGGAAGCAGCCCATCCAGGGAAGGCCCGGCATTATAACACGGAGGAGGCAGACCTCCTCTAGACCAGCTGTTCTGGATGCAGATACCTGCCCAAAGAAAGAGCTGACGGCAATTGGTACCATTTCTCTTCCTGGAAGAAGAGACCCTGGATTGTCCATATCACAGGCTTTGTGGACATCCAGCTCCACCTGGCTCTCTCTGGGTCATTTACAGGCAGGGACTTAGCTACAAGGGAAGCAGGTGCGATCCATCCATTGCAAGCAAGGCAGACGCTACATGGAGCTCGGACCACCATTGCGGTGGAGAACCATTGTGTTAATTCACAGCCAAACCCTACTGTGTGTGGCAGACAGATTGGTCCCAAATCCAGAGGTTTGTGTCTCAAATCCCACCTCTCAAAACCTGGTGTCAAGAGCTGGCAAATCCTCCGAAGCAAAGAAAAAACCCACCGTATTGAGAGTCTGTGCAGGGAGCACAGCAGAAGAGGGAGCCAGCTAGATTTTTGATTCAAAAAATATTTCAGATAGTTTCTGAAGTGTTTGGTGCTCCTTGAAAACCAAAAGGGACTCCCACGGCCCCTCTCACTTTCTTCTGTGAGTTTGCCTGTGTCTCCTCTTTGGCCAGGCACCCCTAGAACACCTGAATGTGCAGAGCCTTCCCATTTTTCCCAGAGGGCAGGGGGGTGGACACAGGGGCAGCTACAGAGACCCCAGCTCTCTCCCGGACCTTCATGGAGACCCCCCTCCTCATGTCCTCACACCACGCCCAGAGGTGGTATTTCTGAGAATTTGCTGAGCCTCTAAGGGGCAGGGTCCATCCTGCCAGGGTGCAGGAGCCCGAGGTGCCTGAGGGCCATTCTGGGCCATCTGGGGGCTGGGTGGGGGCTGGGGCATGGCCTCGTCATCATTCTGTGTGTCGACGACTCAGGAAAAAAGAAAAGTTAGGTGTTCTTTCAGTGAGATGTGGGCACAACGCTGAGGACAGAAATGTGTCAACAGGTCAGAGTAGAATAGCAAAGATCTACGGGTCAAAATGGACCTTTGCAAGGTAATAACAGTAATAAGGCTTCGTGCCTGTAAAAAGTGATTCAGATAACTGAAAACTTTCATAACCTCATTTGAGAAATTATTACATTGAATGCTTTTAGGTGTGATAATGGTATTGTGGTCATGTCTTTTTAAGAGTGCTTGTCTTTTAGAGATAAATAGTAAAACATTTAAGCATGAAATGATACGATGTCTGGAACGAGTTCAGACGTCTGCTCTAAAATACTGGGGGAGACAGCAGAGGGGAAAGATGGGCTATAAGTTGATGATTTGTGAAGCTGGATGATGGGTGCATGGGGGTGCATTATTCTATTTTTGCTACTTTTACATGCATTTAAAACTTCACCATGGTAAAAAAAAATTAGAGAAAAAAAGCAAAAATAATTAATTGGAGAATGTGGTGATTCTGGTTTAACAAAACGGTGGACAGCAGAGGCGGGTTTACACTTTCTGCCTCAAGACGTGAGCAGCAAGGTTAGGAACGATCCCCACTGAGGAGCCTCGGTTGTTGGATTGTTGGAGGGTCTCGGCTCAGCTGAGAGTGAGGGGCGGGGACACACAAGCCGTTTCCCCGGGCCCCTCCGTTCTGGCCTCCATCAGCCCTGGCTCCATACCTTCCACGGCTCCGTCTGCTCCGAAGAGAAGCCACGGCCGCAAGAGGGGAGAGAAGAGGTGGGTCAGTTTCAAACCAGGCTGCCCTTCATCCAAATGAGTGTACAGGTGTGTGCTTACCTTCCTGCTCCCTGAAGGGCAGAAGAAGACGCTGTCACTAGCACGCACACCCACACTTATGCACCCACATGCACACAGGCCTTTCCCTGAGGATAACCCCGGTTTTATTTCCCTCATTGCCTAACGGAGTTCACCCTCCTCTGCCTGCCCTACAAAGATGCCCCTACCCTGGCCCAGCCCTCTCGTCCGGGCATCCTCCCGCGATCCCCAGCACCCTCTGCTCCAGCCAGCTTGGTCCCTTCTGCATTCTGTCCACTTGCTCTCTGATCTGGCCTCTGAGCTTTCCCAGGCTGTGGCCCTTCTGGAAAGCCCCTCCCCTCCCTTCGCTCTCTGTCCAGATCCTACCCAGGTGTGACTTGCCTTCTGCACACAGCCTCCCCTGACCAGCCCAGTCTCCGGGCTCCTCCTCCTCGGACCCCTGCACTGTGACAGCCCACCCTCCTCAGGCCCCTGTTTGCTAATTGCTTCCCACGGTTTGCATCTGAACATCCCGTAGGAGAGAAAGTTCGGGGTCAGCAGGAACTATGCCCATAACTCTGTCCTCCCTGGTGACCACCACCCCAGAGACAGTTGTCTGACTGGCTGACGGTGTCCTGCCCAGGCTTCTCTCCAGGACGGGAGTGTGACAGGGCCTGTTAGGCCTGGAGGATTGCCGGACGGAGGGACAACGCTGGGCTCTGAGTCGGGTTCTACAGGGCCCGGTGACTTCGGGATAGTCAGTGAACCTTTCTGGGTCAGTTTTCAGGAGACCCAGCTTCTCAGCTCCTCTGCTCATGGGCCTGACAGCTGAGCCTCTGTACTTCCAAAAGCCCCCCAGCCTGGGGTCTGCCTGGGATCCGCAGGAATGGAAATGAAGGGGGCCCCAAAAACAAGCCCCCTCAGATCCCAGGATGCTCCGGACACTCACTCCTCGTACTCTTCCACCGCCTCCTCTGTGTCAGACATGGTCTCTGCGGTCCCTCCGGAAAGAGAGAAATGTCAGTGCGGGCGGAGGAAGAAGCCCCCCATCCTCAGACCCCTGAGAGGGGAGCGGCGGCCCTGCTGACCAGAGAGGCCACGGGGCAGGGTCCTTACTGCCCCCAGGATCTGCAGCAAGGAGCCCGCTTCCTCCGCTCTCGGGGATAACAGCACCCACGCCCCGGCCAGGGCAACCAGCTGAGGTCCCTTTCACGCCTTGCCCCTGAACAGGCCAACTGGAATTTCTGAGTTCATATTCAAAACACTATAACTCTCAAAACAATGTTTCTCAAGTTTCACAACCCTGCAACATGGGAGCAGAGCCCGCACAGGTGCTGGTGGGGCGTGGCACGTCAGCAGTGGGGAATTCTGCTCCGCAATGAAATGGAACCAGCCGGCGGTCCACGCAATGCTGTGCACGAATCTCCAGGGAGTTCCTCTCATTGAGGGGAAAAAGCCCATTCGTATGATTCCATTTATATAACATCTTTCAAATGGCAAAATCGTAGCAATGGAGAAGAGACTGGTGGTTGTCAGGGGTTGTGTGGAGGGTGGCAGGGAGGTGGGAGGGAGCCTTGTGGTTTTAGAACTGTTAGATATCTGGACTGTGCTGAGGGATATGTGGACATACACAGGTTACAACTGTATTGAATTTCACACACACACGCACAGTCTAAGTAGAGCTATGGAAATGGAGAAAGATCACGGATTGTGGCAGCGACCAGGACCCAGCTGGGATTTGCAACATAGTTGTGCAAATGTTACCACTGGGGGAAACTGGGCAAACTGTAGGAGGGATCTGTATCATTTCTTACAACTGCGTATTAATCTACCACTATCTGAATAAAAGTTCCAATTAAATAAATTTTCCCCCGGGGAACTCGTTTTGAGAAAGCCCCCTTGCTGAGACATTTTGAGATACCCCCCTCGCTGAGATAGGAACAGACAATGGAGATTCAAACCCTCTTCCATCAGCTTGCTGGGCGTGTTTGGGCAAGTCTTTTTAACGTCTCGGAACCTCAGCTCTTTGTCTGTGCTATGGAGATTCAGCGTACAAATCCCGCTGCTCAGGGATCTTTATGGACCAAATCGACACTAAGGAAAGTGGAAGGCACTAGGCAATGTCAGGTTTTACTGTAATTTCCACGTAGTTACAGGGAGAAGCCACAGGGGGAGGTGGAAATAGCACCCACTTGAGTGTGAGACTAATCTGGGTTTGAATGCTGGCTCCATCTCGAATCTGCGTGTGACCTTGGAAAGGTCACTTAACCTCCCTGCACCTCAGTTCCCTCTTCTGTGACATTGCTCTTCCTCTGGGGTGGCCATGAGGCTTAGAACTGGTGTGAAGTGCCTGGCCCAGAGTAGCAGTCCATTAATAACTACATAGTCCCCCCTTGTCCGAGGTTTCATTTTCAGCGGTTTCAGTTACCTGCAGTCAAATGAGGTTCGAGAATATTAAATGGGGGCTGGCCCCGTGGCTTAGCGGTTAAGTGCACGTGCTCCGCTGCTGGCGGCCTGGGTTCGGATCCCGGGCACGCACCAACGCACCTCTTCTCCGGCCATGCTGAGGCTGCGTCCCACATACAGCAACTAGAAGAATGTGCAACTATGACATACAACTATCTGCTGGGGCTTTGGAGAAAAAAAGAAAAAGGAGGAGGATGGGCAATAGATGTTAGCTCAGGGCCGGTCTTCCTCAGCAAAAAGGGGAGGATTAGCATGGATGTTAGCTCAGGGCTGATCTTCCTCACAAAAAAAAAAAAATATTAAATGGCAAATTCCAGAAATAAACAATTCACAAGTTTTAAATTGCCAGCCATTCTGAATAGCATGATGAAATCTCATGCCATCCTGTCCTGCTCCGTCCCGCCCGGGGCGTGACTCATCTCTTTGTCCACTGGATCCACGCTGTAGACGTCATGGGCCCTGTGAGTCACTTAGCAGCCGTCTCAGTTATCAAAGCAACTGTCTTGATGTCACAGTGCTTGTGTTCCAGTAACCCTTATTGTACTTAGTAATGGTCCCAAAGTGCAAGAAGAGTGATGCTGGAAATTCAGATATCCTCTTACTGTGCCTAATTTATAAATTAAACTTTATCACAGAATGTGTGTATAGGAAAAAACATAGCGTATCCAGGGTTCAGTACTATCTGCAGTTTCAGGCATCCACTGGGGCCTTGGAAGGTATCCTCTGAGGATAAGGGGAAACCGCTGTATTACAACTGAACGCTCCTGGGCCGCAGCAGTGGACAGCTGCAGGGCCACCACTCACGTTGTTTGAAACGTGAATGGCGCCCCTGGAGTTGTGTGACACGAGGGCTCTGCAGTCTTCCTGAGGGGGAGGCAGGACAAGATGATGTGAGGGTGAGGTGCCAAGGGAGGTGGGAGCAGAATCGAATGCTGAGTACGACCACCCTCCCTGAGGTTCCTCCTGTGCCCTTGCCTCCTGCCCTGCCGCGTCCAGCAGGGCAGTCTACCGACATCTGACGCAAGCTGCAGGTGGGACGGCGGCACGGAGACCACTCACTGCCCTCTCCTCTTCTCCCTGCACATCCCACTGCAGTGGCTGAGACCCACCCAGGCACCCATCTGCAGACATTCAGTGAGAGTCCCTGCTCTGGTGGGGTGGGTGATGTCTGCCCCCGGCTGCCCCTCTGGGTGGACACCTCCTCAGACCCAGTGCCCTTGGCACCTCAGACTGGCTGCTGCTTTGAACCTGCTCCAATTCCACCCAGTCCTGCTGGGTTTTGGACCAGCATGGCTGCTGCTGGGCAAGCCCCTCTGCTAGAACAGGGTGGGCAGTGAGGGAGGGGCCTGGCTTACATGGAGCCTCAGATAAAATCTCTGAGCCACTTTTTGGTTCCCCTAAGGTCGAGGGGGATGAGAGGAAGAGATATCAGATATGTAAGGTGTCACGATAGGGGGTCGAGCCTCCTTCTGCTGAAGAAAGACTCAAACCTCAGAATGTCTCCAAATGGGTCCTCAGGATGCCAGTGGCCAGAGAGAGCCCCTGACCCCAGGAAGGGGGGTGGGGTGCGGGGGCGGAAGTGGCAGACAAGCACTGCCCAGAGCCACAGGGAGCAGCCAGAACTAGTGACCTGAGAACTTGGGGACCTGCTCACTGAGCCCCGAGAGGAGTCTGTCACCTCGAGGAGGAGGGACAGTTTCTCGGGGGGATGGTTTGAGGCCAGCCTGGGGTGGTAGTCTCTAGCTTTCTCTCCTCCCCTGCCCTGCCCTCCCACCAGCTCAGACCACTAGGCACTGCCTTGGGGCTCAGAGGAGGAAAGAGCAGCTCAGAGCCCTCTCCCTGCTCCTAGGTGCACTATCCAGCTCCTAAAAATAGTGTGCCATCCATGAAGCGTAGGGGAGAGGACACAGCTCAACCAATCGTCGAAGGCAGAACTGATGGAGGGAAAGGTGATAGGCTGAGGCTGGGGGCTGCAGAGTGGGAGCCAATCAAGAACCTGGTGGGCAAGGTGCAAGAATGTCCTAAGGCACCTGTGTCCTCACCCCTCAGCCCCCACCTGCTTCCACTGACTGCTTTCCAGCCTAACTCCCTCACAGCCAAGAGGTCGGGGTCACCTTGCCTGGAGAGTAAAGCAAAAACAAGAGAAGGCAGAAAGAACACCAGCCATGGGGTCAAAAGATCTGGGTTTAAAACCCAGTATTTGCCGTGTGACCTTAGGTAAGTCAATTCACCTCTCTGGGCCTCAGATAACCTATCCATAAAATAGATGAGCTTCAAGTTCTAGTCTTGTGGAAACAGTCTCTGAGTTTCTGAGGAATGTAGGCCCCTCTCTCAGCCCTTGTACCCAACATTCAGCTGGGATCTTCCTAAGCCTGCAGCTGTTGGCCCCCCAGGAGAGCCAACGACAGGGTATGGGGGGTGGGAGCTGGGGGTAGGAGGGAGGGGTCAGCTGGCAACTTGATCCTCTCAGATTCCTCTTCTGCCCTGAGAGGAGGATGTGCCCTAACACACGGGTCAGAGGAGGAATTCCGGAGGTCAGGCAGCTTCCCAGCTCCAGGAAGCGGGAATGTGCTTTGAAATTCCTTACACTCCTCGCAACCCCCTCCCCAAATATTTCCTCAGCCTGCCCAGAAGAAGCTGAAAACTCCAGAGGCTATTTCTCTCTCTGCCCCTCCGGGGCACAGAGCAAGGTCTGTCCCTATGGCTCGTGTTGGGATGGGGCAGGCCGGGGTCACAGTTGCAGGAACACTGAGGGGGGTGCAGCTAGAACCCAACGAGCTGAGGTCACAGCCCATGAAAGGGCCTCCCGGTGGGGCCTCTCCTCCATCAGCCCCTCGTGCTGCTCAGGCTGCCCTCTCTGGGGAGGGGAGGGGTGCTGAGGCTGGGAAGTCAGAGGAGCCTCCTCCAGCAGCCCCACCTGCCTCTGGATGGGTGGTAGGTCTCAGCACTTCCAGGACAGTTTCTGAATTTCTGGACATGAGAATCTGCCCCCAAGGACTGTTCTGACTGATACGACCACAGTCTCGTTCTGCTCTCTGGAGATCAAGAAGGACCCACCTGGACTGGTTCAGGGGGCCCTCGGCCTGGAGACAGCGGAGGAACCCAGCAAACGGGGGAGCCCCTGCTGGTTAGAGCTTCACCATATTTAGAGCAGGCAGGGGCATAGCAAATATCTAGTCCGTCCTACCGACAAGGCAACTGAGGCCCCGGGAGGGACTTGCCAACTTATACCACATCTTTCCTGGCAGATCCAGGGCTGGAACCCAGGCCTGCAATCTGACATGGGTCCCTGCTGCTCTATGCACTAGCCCTGGAGCCCGACGCCTGCAGCACCTCCTCGACAGCGCGGCCTCCTCGCGGAGGGTGGACCTCCACCAACGCCGACATCCACTTGGAGTGGACACAGGCAGCCTCTGGAGGAAGCTGCTGGGCCGCGGGACACGTGCCCTTCACGCTCTGCTCTCCCCTCTAGAGTCTTACCTCGGAACAGGAGCGGCTGACTATCCTGAGGTGTCTGCTCAGCCTCGGCAGGGACTGGGCGAGGGCAGGGGGTGGCGAGGGCTTTAAGCAGGCGTGCGGGCTGGGGCCCTGTAAGCCCAGCCCCACGGTGGGAGGAATGTGCTGCAGGAGACACGGCAGTGGGTGGGGGTGTCGGCTGCTATTTTGTCAGGTGCCAGGGACAGGGCTGATGGGACTTGTACCCCACGCCATATAAGCCCATGCGGTTGTCCAGTTGCTCAGATAAGCTATTTAAAACCAGAACAGATATGCGGGGAACAGAGGAGGGAGCAGGCATGTAACACAAACCAGCTGTCCCTCTTGAGAGACACCTGATAAAGCAGATGCCAGCGGCCCGGGCCTGGGAGGGCAGGCTGGGAGCCAGGGTGAGGGGCAGAGGCGACCTCCGAGACCCTCCCCGAGCCCCTGGGCGGGGGCGGTGGGCAGGGGTAAGGCTTTTCTGCAGCTCCACTTGAGTGATGCTGTGGGTAGAGACGTCCTCCAGCTACTGGCTGTTCTAACGGGCTGAGCCACCCGGGGCAGCGGCAGGCTCTGCGGGCTCAGCGAGGGCACCTACACAGAGGGTCTTCTCCGCACCCCCCAAAGCCACGTGACAAGCCCTCCTCACTGGGAAGGGACTGAAGCTGCTACAGGAGGTCAGATATGAGGTAGAACTTCCAGTGAGAATGATGGCTCTCCTCGGACAGGCAGCCAGGTGGCGTGAGGGGCTGTGAGGACTGTCAAAGTTCATTCCCCAAGGGCTTTACAATTAAGCCAGTCAGGGACCACGATCTGCTAAACCTGCCAGACTGTAGATCCATAAGGCCAGGGCCCAGGGGTTTACTCGTTCTCAGTCCCTTACGCAGCCCCTAGGACATTCCAGGGCTCAGGACGTGAGGACAGCGGAAGAGAGGGGAAAGCATGTCTGGAGGCAGCGGGGCTGACTGGACCTCTGAATCCTCACAGTCCGCATCCTGCCCAACTCTGAAGACGGAATGCCCCTCCCCGGAGCCAGGCCCTCTCCTCCTCGTGCACCCGGGGGCCCTGAACCCCCCGCCCCTCCAGATCCTGCCCATCAGTGACCCACACTCTTCTCCATGGACAGAAAGTCAGTCTCCCCCATGCTCCGCCGCCTCCTCTCCCCTCTCCTGACCACGCGCGCAGCCTCCCAGCCCTCAGTCCCACTGCCTGGAGCTCCTGCTGCGTCCACCACCGCCGTCCTGGAAAGAGTCCTCCACACGCAGGACTTCCGCTCGCTCCTCACCCACTCTGCCATTGGACTCCTGCCCCACTGCTCAGCTGAAACCATCCCCACCATGGTCCCCAGTGGCCTCTGGGCCCATTGGCCTGATTCCCCGCCCCCAGGCTTATCCCCTGCCATGTGGTCCTTCACGCTGCTAGCAGATCAGTGGCAGGTCCAGCTGAAGCCACGTGCCTGCCAGCCAGCCTCCCGGCGGAGAGGGAGATGGTGCGAGGCAGAGAGAGGCGGGTGGGGGAGCACATCCACGGAGGAACGATGAGCAGCCAGACCGCCTTACAGAGGGAGGGAGGAGAACCCTTCACCCTGCTCTGGCCCACCAGGGCCCCCGCCTCGCTGCGTGGCCTGGCCCTGAATCCCCTGGGATTTAGGAATTGCTTTTCCTAAACCCTCCCTTACCTGGAGCTACTTCCAGCAGGTTACTGTTCCTTGTAAGCCCAACAGTCCTTCAAACGAGCCATGACTTGTTTGCAGGAGTGCCTGGAAGAGGGATCTGGGCACGACAATCCCACAGAGCCCCCAGGAAGAATCTGTGGATTCCTGGCATCCATCGACTAAATGGGTGAGGCTTTACTAACTGTCCAGAGGCCGGGATTTAACTCGGAGAACTGGGAGGCAGGCACTCAGCTAGTAAGGTCTAGCGGCCCTCCAGCAGCCACACATTGATATGACAGCTGTCATGGATGCCCCTGTCCTTGCAAATAGATGTAAAGTCACCTCCCAGTGCTAATGGCAGAAGGGAAGAGAAAACAGAGATGGTGCTCATCCAGAATTGCACTGGAGGGGTGCTTGCAAATTTGAGGACCCACAAGAGGACAGACCAATTCTGAGGTCCTGGGGCCACCGGGGCAGGAAAGCAGGAAGGAGAGGCAAGGAGAGGTAGGAGGGTGGGCCGGGGGACCTTTCTTTCTCCAGAGGGCACTCAATGTGACCTCCTCCAAGAGGCCTCCCCTGCCCACCTGGCCGCCCGGTCACCACCACACTGCAAGTCTTCGTGCTCACATCTGATCTGTGGGAGCGTCTCCCCAGCAGGAGTGAGCGCAGGCCCTAGGGTGTGGGGTGCACGGATGCAGGAAGAGGAGGTCATGGGGTCATGTCTCCCGACGCTCTGCCCAGCAGCCTGCCCTTAGCAGGCACCCGGTGGGGGGAGGGGCGCCGACATGAAGGGCCCCACGTCCTGGAGGCAGCAGCTGCAGGACACCACAGACACCCAGGACCAAGCCGGCCCCCTGGTCCCCTCTGGGGCCCCCACTCTGGATGAAGGCCTCTAGGAGCCTCTCCCAAGACAAGTCTGCGTGAGGACAGTTTTGCCTGCTGACAAATTCACCTGCTGGGGACTCTCCACAGTTCAGAACACAAGCCTGGGGGGATCCCTTGTTAGAGCACTGAGTTCCTGGTGAGGCCAGAGTGAGTCAGGTCCTGAGTCTCAGGGCAGTGCCCTTCCCACTCCTCTCCCCTGCCCCCGGCTTTGTCCTCAGCCTCTTGTGTCAGAGCTCTCGCAAAAGCTCCAGCCCTGGCAGTGGGTGGGGGGCTCAGGGCAGGGCCTCCAGGTCTCACAGCGCCCCCACTCAGTGCAGGCCTGGGGGCAGCCACCGGAGACCCACCGGCTGGATAGGGGAGGGCATGGGAGTGACCCACAGCCTGGAGTCACTGGGAGGTCTGCCCCGATGGGGCTCTGAGGGCCTTCTGTCCCCAGACCGCAGGATCCAGGCCAGGAGCCCTCACCACAATTACAAAGGCTGGGGCAAAGCTGGCCGTCCGTGGCTGGCTGCTTCTGCCCCACAAGCTTGGGGACCTGGGCCTGGTGCCGCCCTTAAGGACCGTGTTCCGAGAAGACCTGGAGTTTGCCATGCGCGCCTGGGGCGGGGGACAAAGCAGACAAAGGGGAAGTGGGCAGGGTCCTGCACACGCGCTCCCCCCAGCTGGGTCTGCGTAAAGCCAGGGCAATTAGGAATAAGAGTTCTAACGAAGTTCTAATGAACTGGATTTCAGGAGAATGTGTGTTGGGGGGTGTGGCAGCAGGCCTGGCACTGATATGGCAGTTCTGCCCCCTTCTCAAGTCACTATGTTAGGACAACTGGGAGGCCACTCACCTTCATGTGAGGAAAACAGGAGGCTGCTAGGAAAATGATGACTGACCCCCCAACTCCCAACTAAACAATCCTCCTCACACACGGCAGATGATCCCTGATAAAAAGCAAAGCCTCCAGGAAGGAATCCATTTTTAAGGCATTATTAGTCCCTTATACCTGAGAGTGAATGAGTTTATTAGAACTTTCCTGAGACTAGGTTTTTCAAAGAGGGTGGGGTGAGGGGGCACAAACAGGCACTGAGCTCCTGGCCAGAGCAACAGGCAGGGAAGGGGGGGGTGGGCACGTGGGAGGCAGGGCAGCTCCTTCATGGTCTGGCGGAGTGGGCCTTGGCAAGCTGGGAGCGGGCTCCAGGGAATAAGGTGGGGAAGTCCAGGACTCAGTGAGGCAGAGACGTCACAGACACGAGGAGGCACCTGCTTTGAGCAGTCTCTGGACGAGACGCCGACAAGAGGCAGTGCTCTGCACGGCTGATGCTGGGTCCTGGGATCTGCTGTGCCGGCCACAGAACAAGGGGCCAGGGCACACCTGCCCCCGAGGCAAAGCTGGGAAGGAGCTGGCAGCGTCTCCCGACATGCCCGGCCCCTGGCCCAGAGGCAGAAAGGGGGCAGGGGCAGTGAGAGGCAGGGAGGAAGGGCCTGGCAGGACAGAGGGCCCTTGGAATGGACTTGCAGGACAGTCCTGGCAGCGCTGTCACACCTGTGGGGCAGAGGTCTATCAGAACAAGGGGGGGGCAGGGCTGGGAGAAGGGGCCTCTGGACAGGGGGGCATCCCTTTGCCCAAGGCCCACGCCCACACTGGCCCAGAGATTCAAGTCTGCTGCTTGAAGCCGGGAGGCCCTGCAGAGCTAGGGGGAGGCGAGCCAGCTGAGGGCTACACCAGTGTTCTCGAGCTCGGGTCACACTGGCCCGAGAGCAGGACCAGGACATTCCAGGTCCTTGGACGGTGCCACCACGGGCCAGCGAGTATGTGGAGGGGTGGGTATGTGGAGTCTCCCAGGGCCAGCCCCTCTCACCTCAACGTCCAGGGAGGGCTCTGCTTTGCTTCCTCTTGGGGTCCTCCTGGCGGCGGCTGATTCTTTCTGCACCTCCTGATTGGGGGCCACAAGTGGAGACGGGGACTAAGGCAGGCTGCGGAGGCCCTTCCTGGGAGGGAGGACCCCAGACCTGCTCCCTCTGATGCTTCTGACCCACGGGCTTCCCCATAGCCCTCCCCGCTGTCTCCACTCCCGGAATATCTCCCTTACCCTTGGGCCGCCCCTCTCTGACCCGGGTCATTCCACCGTGAAAGGGCCCACCGTAAGGGACCTTGTGGGGGACAGGGTACCTGGGGGTCCTGATCTCCAGACCCCTGGGACCTGCTGATCCACAGGTTGAGCCTCGATGTCACAACCCCTGAAAGCTTCAAGTTCTCCTGGAAACAGAGGCTCCATCTCAGGGTTTGGGGCCACTGCCCACAAGAGGGCATTTTCACGGGCCCCGGCACAGGGTAGGCCTCTACCTCACTCAATGTCCATCCAGCACGTGCTACATACACCTGGGAGGCCCCCCACCCCTTCCCCAGGGAGTCACACGTACAGCTAAGGAGATCTGGGCTCAGGGACACACATGGTAACTCAAGTCAACAGCAGGTTCTGCCAAAATTGACGCATGAATTTTGCGTCTAGCACGGCCAGGCCCCAGGCTCGGGGTTTGGCGACCTCAGGCCTAATCAGCCTGAAGATGCCCGGCCAGGCCTGAGCCCCTCACCTTCCGACTGGATGCTGGCTCTGCTCGGCTCTGGCCCACCAGCTCCTTCTCAAAGAGATGGCGCTTGCTGGCTACACCCACGGGAGCCACCAAGAACTCAGTGCGGGAGGAGCCAGGACTCTTGACGGATTCTGATCTCTGGGAACAGAGGACACACACTGCTGACCCATGAGGGTGAGGGGCCCGGGCCACGCCCACCACATCCTCAGGTACCCGGCCCCTGCACGGGCCCCGCCCACCTGCACGGCTGTGTGGTATCTCTCCAGCTTCTCGCCTAATTTGACCGTGCTGGCTGGGAGCCTCACACTGGCGCTGCAGGATGGGAGGACAGGAGCAGACAGACCAGGTGAGACCCCTGCCCCCTGGGAGACCAGGCCTGCCCCCGGAGCCTGAGGAGTAGTACCCACCCCACCCCACCATTCTGGCAGAATATGGCCTCCATCACTGAGTGAGGCTATAATGACTTGGCCGAGGCGAAACCCTATAGACCTCAGGAACCTTCCTCACCCCTGAGAAGCGTCCCATCCCAGCTAGAGAGACATCCCCAGGATCAGAAATATCTGCCACTCCTCCCCTCTCCCACCCTCCCACCTCAGACATCTCCCGAATCTCTTTCCTCTCCATCCTCCCCATCACGACAGTCACTTGCTACCCAGTCCCTCTGCCTGCCACTCTGAGCTCTCTCCCACTGCCACCAGACAGCTCCCACCCCAAACAGACCCTCCTGTCCTTCCCACAAAAACCCTCAGGCCACAGGACTGGGGCCAAACTCCTCGGCACAGCATATGAGGCTCTCACAATTTGGTCCCTGCCTCCCCTCCCGACTCCAGCATCCCCCCCAGTCCCCTTCTCCACGTGCTTGTGTGCCAGCCATCTAGACACCTTGTGCTCTTCACACCTGTGCCTTTGCACATGCTGTTCCCGCCATTAAACATGCCATTCCTCCACTTTCCATCTGGGAAAGTTCAAGTCCCTTTTGGATGTCAATTGCTCTGTGACCTGGTTCCCAGCTGTCACGGGCTGAGCCATGCAGAGCTCCCAGCCCTGGTCCATATTCCTGTCCCTGCTGGGTGGCTCTCTGTGTTTAAAGGTCTGACGTCAGCTGCTCGAGGGCAGCAACTGTGTCTTATTCATCTTTGTACTCTTTACTGCCACCTCTGCCCGGGCCTCACCCGGGATAACGGGCCTCAGTAAACGTGAGGGGCAGATGGACACAGCACAAGCACAGCTGCTGTTCAGAGCCTATTTCAGTGTTTTTCAAAACACAGTCCTCAAACTACTGGCATCCACATTATGGGGCGGGGGGGGGGGTGGCACTCGTTAAACATGCAGGTTCCCAGGCACCCCCACCCCCCGCATCAGGCTCCCTCTTCCCTGCACTGTTCACTGTCTCCCTCCAGGAAGGCCCTCCCTGCTCCCCACCCCTACACCTCAAGACTAAACCGTCTGTCCTTTACCTTCGGAGCCCTGCCCAAGCCCTGCCTCCTCCAAGAAGCTCTCCCAGATCCCTCCCCTCCCTGTTCCAGCTCATCAGCCTCAGTTCCTCATGTTAGTCCAGTCTCCCTGCTGAATCTGGAGCCCTGGGCAGGGGCTGCATCTGGCACAGGCACACTCAAGGAGAACAAACAGGCCGAACCCAACCAGAGGGGAGAGTGCCAGCATCTCCAGGCCCCTGACCTGCGGGTTAAGCCTGTTTCCGAGTTGTCTTTCCGGGAGCTCATCTGAAACGAGATGGAAAGGAGTGGGTGAGTGGGAGACCCAGGGCGGCCACGGCCCTCCTCTCAGGAAGGGCTCGGCTTTCAGGACACTTCCTCCTCCTACCTAGACCCCCGCCCCTCCACGGCTCAACCCCCAGGCAAACCCTCACTGAAGGCCCTCCTCTTGTCTGGGAGAGCCTGCCCCCACCCACCAGGCTAGGTCTTCTCGGGGAACCTGCCGCCGCCCTGTCGGCCTCCCCACTGCCCGTGAGCCCCGTGGGGCAGGGACGGGCACTGACCAACCTCAGGCCTCCAGCCGCCCCCCAGGGCCGGCACACAGCAGGGCCACAAAGCACAGGTGGTCAAAAATGACCCAGTAACCAGGGGAACTCAGAGTAAATGCCGGCCCAGACCAGATAAGAGCCCCCAGTCCACATGGTCGGTCCTGCTGGGGCAGAGGTAGAGTGGAGAGCACTAGGAGAGCCCGCTGCCCCTGCCCGTCCCTCCTGCACAAGCCTCCAGGGTGAGGACAGGAGCTGTGGGCAGATGTGGGCCCTGCTGTGTCCCTCCCAGGTGCCCATCTTCCTGCAGCTCTGGCCTACCCACTAGGTGGGGCTGTCACGCTTGTCCACACCCACCTTCCAGGTCATTAACCTGCCCTCCTTCCTTTCATCCAGCCCCCTCTGCTCCTGCAGCACCTGCGGGGACCTTAAGCCCCTCTATCCAGACCATCTTCTCGATATCTAACCGACACCCCTGTGTGTAACAGGTGCTGGCTTCCCTGGCTGGCCCTCCCGTGGCTTGGAGACAAAGGTCCCTGGGCTCTCACTCGAAAGGAGATGGTCCTGGGGCTGGAGCGTTTGAGGGAGCTGCTGAAGGTGGCCTGGGTGGGCAAGGCCGCGTCCACCTCATCTTCCTTGCTGGGGATCTTCACCTGGATGGAGCAGGAGGGGTGTCACTCGGGAGGTCTGGGTGGCCCCGAGCCCAAGCCGCCATGGGGACCCCATGTGGCCTGGCTCATCCCAGGAGCTGCAGGAGGAAGGGGGGAGTAAGACAGTCCTGTGGCCTCCCCTGCTGCTTCCTGCCCCTCTGCCTCTGCTGTGGGGATGGTGGACACTGTCCCATGGGGCCAGGACACAAGGCAGAGCTTTCCAGGGGAGCTTCTGGAAGGATCCGAGGCTTCCCAAGAGTCTGCTGGGGCCTGGGGTCCCAGACATGGATGAGGACGTGGTATGTGGTACCAGGTGCTCCCTGACACACAGCTGATGTCCCTTTCAGCTGCCAGCAGCCTGCTCCTGCCTCAGTGTCCCCTATTGTGTCAGTGGCTGGGAGCAGGGAGGGAGAGAAGAAAGTGCCAAGGGCAGCTTGTAGGTGGGAGGACAGGAGACAGTGGACAGACACCAGCAGGGCAGGACTTGAGGAGAGGGCAGAAGCACGGGAGGGATAGGAGCGCCAACCTGGAGTGTGATGGGAGGGAGGCGGGAAGCCACAGCTGGACGGTCCAACGCCCCCTGCTCTCCCAGCTCTGCGGAGGCCTGGGGGCTCTTCTCGGGGAGGGCCCTTCCTCCCTGCTCCTTGGTGCTGGACGGGCTTCCCCCAGAGGCCGACTGCTCCGAGGCTGCTGCCCTCTTTGGGGCCAGCTTTGTCTCTGTGGCCGGGGACTTCTCAAAGATCGACGCTTTCTCAGACACCAGTCTCCTCTCCGAGCCCGACATCTTCCCTGGGGCAGGCGGCTTCTCTGAGATGCCTGTTTTTTCTAGAACTGCCTTTCTCTCTGTGATGGGTCTTTTCTCTGACACTGCTGTCTTCCCCAACACAGATGTTTCCTTGGGGCCCGGGCCCTTCTCGGAGACGGAAGTTTCCTCCGAGACCAGTCTCTTTTCAGGTGCTAATGTCGTCTCTGGAACGGAGGACTTCCCCGAAACCGGGCTCTTGTCTGGAGCTGGGGTCTTCTCCGAGACCCCCTTCTTCCAGCCTCCCGGCTCTCTGCCCGCCAAGCTCTCCTCCTCCCTGGCCCAGGGGCCCCGCTGCTCCTGGCTTAGTCTCCGGCGAGGCGGCAGCTCTGCCTCCTTCTTGGGCACCTGCCCAGGGCCCGAGCTGTCCCGTCCCTCCTCTGCCTCCAGCTGTGCCAGGACGGGCGCCTGTGCCCCCTCCACCACCTGCCGCCTCTGCCTGCGCTCCTGCCGTGTCCTGAGGATGGCCTGGACGTCCTCCTCCTCATCTTTGAAGGCCGCCGGTGGTGACCTGGGCACCTTCGCTTCCTCCACGCTCGGCAGTCTGAGCCAGAAGGTGGGAGACGGGGTGGGAGGTGGAATCAGAGGACATCAGAGCCAGGAGAGCCCTGGGGGTACCCGACCCAATGGAGATGACTCCAGAGCCACCAGGGAGGGGATGAAGATGTGAAGCCCTGCCCCCCAATCACTGAAATCAGGATCACTTTTATCTGCTTTACATATTGGGCTTCCAAGATATCATCTGAACAAAGCACACCATGCTTTTTAAAAAAGTTTATAAACCCTTGTAAGGTCCAACCATTCCACGTTCAGAACAACAAGAGCAACAGAGCAACAAGCCCTGATTAACAACCACTTTATGCGTGTTAGGCCCCTACTGGGCATGGGCGGTCAAGAGGAATACACGCAGGTCCCGCCCCTTAGAGCTCAGATCAAGACCAGAGAAGCTCAGGGATTTATGCAAGGTCACACAGCTCATGGGAGGTGGAGCTGAGAGAAGACCCGCCGCTTCTGCTGCATCGTCCTGCACTCCCGTCGGTCAGGGGGTGCAGCCGCGACCAGGCGGCAGCCGCAGGCATCGGTGCAGCCCAGCACCCACCCGTGTCCTCCCTTCCCTGGGACCCGAGGGAACATGAGAGGCGTCTAACTGTATAGTGCCTGGCTTCCAGCAAAAGGAGACTCTTTCCTTCGTCCACTGCCCTGCTCTCGTGTGATTTGGGGCAAGTTAATTCACTGTCTGAGCCTCTGTTTCCAAATCTGAAAACTGTGCTTGTTAGGAGGAGAAAAGAGCCTCGTCCCACGAGAGGGCCCAGCACAGCCCTGGCACCCAGGAGACATGCGGTCAATTCCGGCCCCTTCTCTTCCTTTCCCTCACAATTCTACAATCCATGGGGCAAGACTAGCCACGCGCTCCTCCCCTCAGAAGTGAATTAGGGGGGGTCAGGGTGAGAGGGAGGCATCTAGGTTAAATGGAAAGAGCCAAGCCATAGAGCCTGATGGACCTGGCTGAAAATTCTGGCCCTGCCACTCGCAGGTTTACGATCTCAGCAAGTTACCTACGGACTCCTTGACGCAGTTTCTCCATCTGTGAAATGAGTTAATGACGCCTCTCTCTTAGGGATATTGTAAGGATTAAGTGAGCCATGTCCATAAAATATCCAGCCAAGTAGTGACTCGTGGATGGTCTCAACGAATAGTAGCAATTATTGTCCTGAAGAGCCTTGCAGGGCTGAGGGGGTCTGCGGAAGATGAGGAACCTGAGGGTCACCTTCATGCCCTTCAGCCTCACTCCCTGGGCAAACTAAATGTGCTGCACTAGCCTGTCGGGGCAGCTAAGTCCATCCTGTCACCCAGAGAGGGAAGGACGCCTCGCCCCCACCCCGACCCTGGCACCTCTCCATGGCCGGCCGGCCTCCGTTCTGGGTGGGCCTGGGAGCCTCGTCGTCCGCGGTGGAGCTCAGATGGCGGTGCCTCCGCCGGCGCTCTCGTTCCTGCTCTTCCTCATCCTCCAGAGTCCGCTGCCTGGCCAGGCTAGGGGAGGGGGAGAGTCAGTGCAGCCCAGGAAAGACCAGGGCCCGTGCCCGAGCAGACTCCCGTGGGGCAGGGGACAGAGACCAGAGCCCTCCAGGATGGCCATCTGTAGGTGGCCACAGAGCACTGAAACAGGGTTGCTCTGAACCAAGACATGCTGTGAGTGCAAAGCTCGCCCTGTATTTCCCAGACTTCATACGAAGAACAGAACGTAAACTCTTTCGTTAATAATCGTGTGTGGTGATCACATGTTGAAATGATAATATTTGGGATATATTGGGGTAGATGAGATATATTATTAAAATTAATTTTCCCTGTTTCTTTTTACTTTTTCAGTGTGTCTACTAGAAAATGTCAACTTTTAAATGTGGCTTGCATTTTGGGTTCACACTGTATGTCGATCAGATTTCTACTCAAGCTGTGGGATACAGGCTGGACCAGAGCTTCTCGACCTCAGCCTCGCTGACATTTTGGCTGAGTAACTCCGTGGGCAGGGCTGTCCCGGACTGCAGGATGTTGACTGGTAACCCTGGGCCTCTACCCGCTTGATACCAGTAGCACCAGCCTCAGTGTGACAATCAAAAATGTGTCCCAACACTGCCAGTGTCCCCTGGGGGCAAAGCCACCCCAGACAAGACCCACTGGGTGGGACTTCACTCTGAACCCAGAGTGGGAATAGGGGGCCGCCTCTCAGGGGGTGACGAGGGATGTGGGAGGGCGGGCACGGTGCTGCCTGAAGGAGCCGGATGAACTTGGTAAGTTCCTCTTTCTTTGTGGTCCTGGGATTCTTAGAAAAAATCTCTCGATGGACAACCACAGAGAAATTTCCTCAGTTACTCAGGTTCCCATCACTGTCTCAGCTTTTCAGAAGGGAGACTCACAACTAAGGCCAGTTACACCTGGAAAAGATCCCAACGTCGCCTTCCCTTCCTAGGCTTTTTGCGCCTCTTTCATCTTTGAGAACCAGCTCTCACAAGGGGACCCCACACACCCTGCTTCCGGTTACTGCCCCCAGTCACCCTTCACTCACCGGGCCAGCCACCCACCAACCCACCGTCCACTTCCTTCAGCCCATCTACCCATCCAGCCACCAGGCAATCCAAACGCCCATCTGCCCCTCATTTCCCCACCCATTCCCACCCACCATGCTCACCCACCTGCCCTCCCATCCTCCCACCCACCTCCCCACCAGCCCACCTCCCCTCCCATCCACCCACGCTTCCACCTCAACCAGTCAATGTGTGCTGGGCAACCAGAATGGGCCAGCTGCACATCAGGACCTGTGGGCTCACAGGAGGAGGCAGGGTCCCCGCCTGGAGACTGCTACTGTCTAGTAAGAAAGACAAGCGTGTTCACCCATAACTCCCCAACCAAACACAGAAACTCCTCTGCAGAGAGAGAATGATTACCGTGCGCCAGGATTACCAGGAAAGGCTCACGGAAGAGGCTGGCCCTCGGTGGGGAACAGGATTTCAACAGGGGCAATGGGGCCTGGGGAGAAACCCGCAGTCCAGGCAGAGGGAGGACTGGGGGATGGGGGGGCTTGTGGGCGGGGAGGCTGTGCTTCACCTGGAGCCAGGGGAGAAGGGGTGGGCAGGGGAGGAGTGGGCTGTGGGGGTCAGTGGAGCGAACCCTCTGGAGCCTTCCTATGCCCCCCAGTGCTGCCTGGGGCCTGATGGGAAAGGTCTGGAAAAGGCCTCCTTCTTCCCTCCCAGAGTGAAGGTGGCGACTGCACGGTCTCTGCTTGCCCCGCCAAGTGCCAAACCTGCTCTCCCGGCCTGCCTGCTGCCCGGCCCCATTCCTCCACCCCCCTCCCTGCCCCCTTCACCACGCAACTGCAACCGAGCCTCGATGATTTAACGAGCAATTGTTCAAACCCACAAATTTTATAAGTTGAATTGCATATGAAATGCATCCTAGGAGCCTCCCAAAGAGAAGACCCCTCCAGGCGGTCTTTTGTAAAGTGGATCAGAGGGTCTGCCTGCTACCGTCCTGCCCTTGGGCAGCTCACAGCCTTCCTCTGCCTTGGTTTTCCTTCCTGGAATGAGGATCAGCCACACGATGGCTCCGATCTTTTTCCTAGGTCCAACACCCCATTTGTTGACCCGATATTCACTAAACAAATATTTTTGAGCACCGACGACATGCCAGGCGTAGTTAGCGGGGAAGGAGACTGACAGGGTTCTTCCCCTCCTGGAACACGTGTCCCGGTGGGGGGGCTGGACTGGAGCGAGGAAACAGGGGCGTGAACAACACGTCGTCAGGAAGTGACACGAGGACAATGGGGCAGGACAAGAGGTGATGTGAGAAGGAGACTGGAAGGGAGGCCTCCTGGAGCCCCGAGAAGGAGCCGGAGGAGCCGGATCTGGTGGCAGAGTGTCCAGGAGGAGGGCACAGCAGAGCCAAGACCTGGGTGTGATGGATGAGCCGGCTGTCCAGGGGGAAGGGGGCACTGGAGCCAGAGGTTGTCCGCCTGGACAAGGCAAGGCCAGAGCAGGGGGCCTCGCAGACCAGCGGAAGAACTTGGGTTTTATTCAAGTGTTCTGGAGAGCCACTGGATGGTTTTATAGAGGGAGTGACATGATATGATTTGTTGCCATTATTTTTTATCTCTCTGGCTGCCGTATGGAAAAAGAATTGAAGGGGTGGGGGTGGGGGGAGAAACAGGGGGACCTGTCAGGAGGCTCCTCCACTTCTCAGGCGAGACCTATGCTGGCTTGAACCGGGTGGAGACAGAGAGATGGGAGCAGTGAGGGATTCGGGACACATTTTGAAGACAGAGCCAGTGGGGTTTGCTGATGGATTGGATGGGGCTGGGGGTGAGGGAGAGAAGAATCAGGAAAACTCCTCGATTTTTGGCCTGAGCAGTTCCTGGTGCTGCTATCAGTAAGACAGGAAAGATGAGGGGAGGAGGACTTTGGTGAGACTCGGGTGGCAGTGAGGAGGGGAGGAGGCGGCGGGAATCTCTTCCTGGCTCATTCAGGGAGGAGGAGACACTGGTCAAGAGCCAAGGAGCCCAAGATACTCGCCAGGGAGGGCGGAGGAAACTGGGGAGGGGCTGGCCCGGAGACAGCCTGTCCTTGCCAGCGGGAGGGCGGGCGAGTGACCAGGATGGAGCGGTGAGCACAGAGGTTCCCGGGACCCCAGAAAGAGCCCTCAGCCACTGGGCCAGAGCCGGACTGGGCGAGAAAGGGGAGACTGGGAGCAAGAAAGGGGAACTAGTGGCCACCAACCACCCTTTGAGAAGTTTGACTGAGAAGAAGAGCAAACAATGTGGACAGTGGACAGAGGAGGACGTAGGCTCAAGGAACGCGGTTTTAATTGAGGTGTCCTTTGCATACAACACATACACAGATCCTAAGTTTTGTTTTCTTTTAAAGATGGGCAGACAAAGGAGACTGGAGAGGGTATGAGAGGTTTGAAAGGAAACTGTGAAGTGGTCCTGCAGGGAGAGGGAAGACCACAGGATGGGGCATCTCTCATCTTGAGCATCCACCGTGGCGCCCAGCACACGACCAGAGCCAGCACACTCGGAATGAGGGGTACACGTCACCGTACTCTCCCCCCCCCCAGGAAATCGCCAGATCTCTGCCTGGACCAGCAAATCCAGAGCCCCCCAACAGCAATCTGCCCATCACCCCACAGGCAGGGGGCTGCCTCTGGAAGGGAATCTTCCAGAACCTCCCAATTCGGACCCTCAGGGCAGCAGTCCCTCCTGCTTCAGTCACCTCCGTGGAGAGAGCAGGGCTCCAAAGTGCTCTCCCCATGGCCTTCACCATGGAATTTAAGCCAGATCCCCTGGGCCTGCACATGACCCCTGCGAGCTCTGCATGCTCGAAGATTCATCATTCATTCATTCACTCAGCACCAATCGACAGACTCTTAGGAGCCAGGCTCTGACGCCCACCTCTCCTCCGCTCCCCTTGTTCAGGCTCAGAAACGCCAGCTTCAGCCGGCGTTCGCCTGAGGCCAGGTGTTAGTCTCTCCCTCTCTGGACGCACTCCCTGCCCCTACAATGCAGTCTGGGACCAGCTCTTGCCCTCCAAAGCCCTGGGCAAAGTAGCCCGAAAAGGAAGAAGCTCCTCCTCTGACCACACCCACCGCTGGGCCGGCCGGAGCCTCCAGCATTCCTTGGTCCTGAGCAACCCCGTTCCCACCACCGCTCCTCTCAGCCCTGGGGAAGCCGCTGATGTGTTTCTCCTCTGAGGGCCATGTATGGCTTGTGACCTGTCAGAGCCTGGGCTCCTCGGAAATGACTCACCCCACCCCAGGCTGGTCCTAGCCCCAAGGGGTCTCCAGGGCTGGGGCTGCAGGGGGTGGGGCCCAGCCATCCCCCAGCATCCCCAGTTTTATGCCACGACCCCACAGCTCACCCAAGGGGATGTGGTCCCCCCTGCTGCTCAGGAGTCAGGGGGCTGCCTTCCATCCTGAAACCCTGGCAACCGCGAGTCCCTCCATCACCACCACTCCACCCCGGAAGAGAAATGTTCTCTCCAACAAGAGTTATTGACCTCTACAGATGAGGAAATGGACAGCCCTGGAGGGGAAGGAGGGGCAAAGGTCAGACTCCAGGGGGGACCTCAGCAGGTACCCTGGTTGAAACCCCAATAATGAATAAATGATAATTAAGGGATTAGAACAGTGCTTAACATTCATAGCTCACAAATATTTGTAGAGTATGGTGACTGATAAATCAATAAATCAAGGAAGAAGCGAGGGCACTAACACGTGAGCACCCACTATAATGCCAGGACGTTCTCCATGGTTTACAAACACCATTGACATGAAGCGTCACAACCACCCTGGGAGGTAAGGTGGGGTCACCCCTTTGTGCAGATGAGGAAACTGAGGTCACAGGGCTTAACAGCTTTCCCCAGACATCACAGCTTAATAAGAGGAAACCACAATTCCAGCCTCGGTCAGCCTCTCAAAAGTCACGCTCTTAACTACAACCCAAATGCCAGGAAAGGGTGTCCTGGGAGGACCCACCCTAACCAGAGGAAGACCGCACTCTCCGGGGAACCAGACCTATGAATGCTGAGAGGAAAGAGCCGAGGAGACGGGGGGCCTCTGAGGATACGGGATTCCCCACCGGGACAGGCCAGAGCTCAGATGCAGCCCGGGAGAGCAGAGGTTTGGGGAAACCCAGTGACACACACATTGACCTTCCAAGCTCCAGAGCCAGGCCTGGGGTGGAACCTGCAGGTCCCGCCACGCGGGGAGTCCCAGCTGCTGTCGTCCACTGGTGCCACAGCCCTGGGCAGGTGCCCCACCACTCCCTCCTTGACAACCCTCCCCTCCACCTCCTGGCCTTGGTCTGGGACACACAGCGCCCTTTCTGCTCCATGGAAGGCTGCTCTCCGCTCCACTCCTGACTTCCCAACTCCATCCTTAGGGTGGGGTCCTCTTTTCCCTTGAATAATTCTAGGAGCCATTCTGCCCTGCTGATCCCCCTACAGGGCTGTTCTTCCTGAGGCCTAACTTCCATCCATGCCGCAGCAGCTGATGGCAGCGGTGGAAGTGCTGTCGTTTTTAAATATTATGTTTAGCAGTGGAAACTTGCTTCTCAAATCGAAGCACATAGAGAAGCCCTTTATACGACAGATAAAGGCTCAGCTGCTCTGGCTGAAACACAAGAAGGCTGCTCCAGGAGCATCTGGTGGAACCCCAGGGCTCCAGGAGCAGGATTTGCAAATCTCAGAAGAAGAGGACAGACCAGGGAGCCCGGGCCTGGGCCTGGCCCTGGGCCGGGAGGCCCGGTTCTGATGGGCTCTGTGACCTTGGGCCAGTCTTCAGCCCCTGAGGGGAGCAGGCCTCAGGCTCCCATTTTGCACAGTGAGAGGTCATCCTGGGTCCTGGGTCACTGAGGTCTTTTCCAGCCCTGATGGTCCAGGGAGAGGTGTCAGGGGAGGACCCAGGGCAGTGCTGGCAGGTGGTGGGGCTGCTCAGGCCCAGACAGGGAAATGATTAACCACGGGCTGCTCAGGCCCAGGTGCCCTCAGATCCACCCCTCACCCCCCGCAGACAGGCCCGGCCCAGCCTCGCCCATCACCAGGCCAGCCCAGGGAGGAAAGGACAAGGCCGTTGACTAGGGCACCCAGCCAGCCAGCTCACCCTGCTCCCAGCCCAGGGCCGGGGCATCTGAATTTCTACTTCATGCACAGGCTGGGTAGCGGCCTGGCCCTCAGCCCCCCACCAGGGCCCTGGCTGGGCCACGAACGTCACACCCTCATCACAGTCCTCCCCAGCCCTGGAGGCCCGGCTAGCAGTGACTCACAGCCGTTCCCTCCTGCCGGCTGAGGCTTGTTGTTCACCTGGGAGCGAGTGGAGCGGAGCCGTCCTCTGCCCCAGGTGCCCCATCAGGGAGTCTGTTGGCAGCAGCTGCGTCTCCCACGGGGCTCCCGGAGGGCTGGGGCCTGGCGGGGGGGCACGACTGGTTCCTCAGGGCTTCCCCGGCACTCACCTTGGGCGTCTAGTGGGAAATCGGCCCCACCCCTGCAGCCACATGAGACCACGTCCAGCTGAGCAGTGGACAGGCTAAGACCAGACCCCACTCCCATTTTCAAAGTTCCGGGCTGCCCACTTCCCACGTCTACCCAGGCAGGCTCTCAGACACAGAACCACAGGTGCCCCCCTAGACTGGAAGCTTCTAAGGAAGGAGTGCTGGGTGGTATTTCTAACCCAATGCACTGCACTGAGGTCTTCATATACATTCAGACTGAACACACTCGGCCTCCAAGGCCCAAACTCAGCACATAGGAGCCTGCCACCCCCCTGGAGCTCTCCTCACTACATCGGCTATAAAAAGGCTCACCCACACATGTGCCCCCATACAAGCACACAGCCATGGGCACAAGTGTGCCCACACCTAGGAGCACAGACACTCCCACATCGCCCCCATGCACACTGGCCACACGAAGAGTCCAGGGCCTTGACCCTCAGCCCCATCCCCGGCTCAGACCTGCCCTGGGGTGTGGCAGCCCAGGTTTCTTTTCCAGAGGGCCGAGCTCCCTCCATTCTTGGGCTTACCTTTTCCCCCCTCTAGACCCCATGGGCCCCTCCATGCAGGGGCTACCAGGCTACGGTGCTTCAGGGCGGTGTGTCTTGAGGGTCTGGGGAGGTGGACCCCCAGCCCTGGGGAATGAGCTGCTGGTGAGGCTGTGGCTGAAATGCTGGAGAAGCTCTGGAGCCTTTCTCCAGGAGGCGGAGGAGATCCCAAGCACCAGGGAACGCAGGAGAATGCACGGAAGCCACAGCCCTAATAGGGAAGGCCTGGGGAGGGTGCCCTCTGCACCTGGAGACAGCCTTGCCCTCATGAAAGGCCTCAATACCCAAATGCCCACCTGGGTAGGGTGGGGTGGGGCCAAAAAGCCAATTTCTACCTGGCTAGAGCCCACGGGATCAAAGGAGTAGGGATCCAGCTCTGAGCCGCTCCACAGGCCTCAGTTTCCTTAGGGGCACGATTGGTGGGGGGCAGGTAAGGAGGTGAGGATGCTCATGTGAGGGCTTCTGGGGCAGGTGCCGGGAAGTGCCCCAAGGAGTCACCAGAGTCCCCAACATGATGAGGGGTGCTGCATCCTGGATACCCCCCCAGGCTTCTCAGACCCTGATAGGCTGCCCAGCAGGCAAGGATAAGATGCGCATTCTCCTGACCCTCTGAGGGACCAGCTCACAAATAAAAAAAGACGCACAGAGGGGGACAGCAGTGTCTTGAGGTCACCCAGCCCAGACACCACCCCAAAATGCGACACTCAGAAGCTGAGCCTCATCAGCAGGAAGGGGATGTTTCCCTCTGGTCCTATTCAGTGAGCCCTGTTCTGCTGCCCCTCTCCTCCCTGCTAAGAGGGCCGAGGGACCCCAGGGCACATCCTACAACTCTACCTAGACTCCGGGGGCAGGGAGGGAGGCTTCCCAATGAAAGGAGACTTGCAGGTAACTCCTGAACACCTCCCCAATCCCGCCCCCACCTGCAGGGGGTCATGGGTAGGGGGTTCTCCAGGCCAGGGACCAGTCTTTGCCAAGCAGCCTGTGTGTGGCCTCGGTCCCCAAGGGGAGGAAAGGAAGCTGTGGGGGAGCAAGAACACCCACTCCAGCGCCTGAGGGTTGCCCAGTGTGGCCCCAATTCTGTCCCCCCTTCCCCAACCAGGGTCCCCAGCGGGAAAGGGCCGGTCCCACGGAGAGGCCCCCACCGGGGCTGGGCCCGCCCCGCCCCCCGCCGCGCTCACCTGGACAGCGCCGACCAGTCCTTTCTGCTGACGGACATGCTGCGGGAGCCGTGCGCCGCGTGCGTCCTGCTCCAGCCTCACCTGCGCCCTCCCCGCGCCGGCCAGGTAGGGTCACGTGGCCGCTGATGTCACCCCGCTCCCATTTGCCGGCCCGGAGCGGCCTCCAGGCTGTGGGCGTCCCAGACCGGGGGCACTGGTCTCCGCCCCAGGACGGACGGACTGACGGACGCCGGCCTAGCGCGGGGCTGGGCGGCGCCGGGAGCGAGGGCAGGAGACAGCTCAGAACCAGTCGGACCTGCTCCCGCAGGTGGCGGGCGGGTGCCGGGAGGGGGCGCCCCGGGGATCGGGGTCAGGCTGAGCCCGGAGAAACCCCAGAGCAGGCCGCGCGGGAAGGTTGGAGCAGGTACCGTCATCTCGTGTCCGAGCGCCCGGTCCTCGGGGTCCCCGCCCGCCACCCCCGGAGGCCCCAGGGGATGAGCTGGGCAGGGCTTTCTCTGTGCTGCACGCAAAACCACCAAACAAGCCCCGTGGAAAGCCAGCCCCTCCCCAGATGGGATTCCTAGACTCAGCTCAGCAAACATTTGAATGCCCATGGCACAGAAAACACCAAGATGTCAAAGGAACGGTCCTTGTGGGCTGACGTTGGACTTGGGGCTGGAGGGGCTGGTGTGGACAGGGCAGAGCAAGCTCAGCTTTTCCCCCAAAGGAGGAGTGGGCACAGATCACAGGACTGGCATTCCGGAGCAACTCGAGGCAGCTCAGGCACCACCAGCACCACTTGAAGTACCCATCTGGGCTGGGGAGTGGGCAGGGTGCTTTCTGTCCAGGAAGCAGCCTTGGGTGGGCTGCGCAGGGGCTCTTTTCTTCCTTGGTGGGTCAGAACCGCAGGGTCAGCAGCAGCAGCAGCCCTCTGCTCTGTGAGGAAGGAGGTGCAGCCCCAGGCAGCAGAGTGAGAAGGTGGAGGGCGCCAGAACTGCCAGCGTTCTGCTGGGCCCCGCTCCCTGCCTGGCCTCCCTTTGACACTGATCCAGGGCCAGTGGTCTCACAGTGCCCTCCACTCTGAGATCTCACAGCCAAGGACAGCCTCCAAACACACACACAGAGCTAGCAGGCTAAAGCATCTCCTTCCCCAAATGCCCCCTCCTCCGGGGAGCCCTGCTTGTTGGCATAGGAGGTGAGGAGTGAGTGCTGGACTGGGAGCCTGGAGACCTGGCTCTGAGCTCTTATTCTGCCATTAATGAGCTGTGTGACTTGGAGCCAATCCCCTCGTTCCCTTATCTGTGTAGTGGAAATAAGGACACTTTGCCCTGCTTCCCTCCAGGTTGAGGGGATCAAATGAGTCCATTGCTGAGTGTTGGTGACCCTGGCGTGAGAGTTGACAAGGACCCAGAGTGTCCTGGGCAGTGGCCGGGGCAAGGCCCTGAGCCCTCTGCTCTCCCAGGGAAAGAGGAGGAGGGACAGCAATAATCTGCCTCCTGGATCCTCTGATCCAGGTCTGACACTCCTGGGGAGCCTGCTACCCCCCTGGGGACCTGGAGAGTGTTCCCTGATGGCTTGTCAGTGGTGGCACCTCAATATGGGAAGAAAAATACTCTTGGTCATTTGAAGCCTGGCCCTTCCAGGGACACTTCATGAAGCCAGGGGACAGTCGGGAACCTAAGAGTCCAAAATCCACCCCCTCTCTGTGGATATAAAAACCCAAAGACACGGAAGGTTAGAATGCAGACAACTCTAGCAATAAGGAAGAATAGATGACATACATGTCAGTGCCCCAAAAGTCCCTTGAGGGCAGGCACCGTGCTTGGTGCTGTGGCAGCGTGGCAGCGTCCCGGCTGCTGTGACAAAGCACCACAAACTGGGGCACATAAACGACAGAAAGTCATTTTCTCCCAGTTCTGGAGGCTCGAAGTCCGAGACTAAGCCATCGGCAGAGTCGTGCTCCCTGCACAGGCTCCGGGGGAGAATCCTTCCCTGCTTCCCCCTGGTCATCCTCGGAGCTCCTTGGCTTACAGGTGCATTACTCCTGTTTCTGCCATCACAGTCACGTGGAATTCTCCTTGTGTCGCTGTGTCTGTGTCCAAATTCCCTCTTCTGATAAAGACCTCAGTCATTGATCAGGGCCCACGCTTATCCAGTGTGACCTCATCTTAACTTGATTACATGTGCAAAGACTCTGTTTCCCCATAAGGTCACGTTCACAGGTACCAGGGGTTAGGAATTGAACATATCTTTTGGGAGGACATAATTCTACCCACTACAGTCAGCACGTGGCTTTTTTTTTTTTAATAATTTTTTTTATTTATTTATTTTTTCCCCCCAAAGCCTCAGCAGATAGTTGCATGTCATAGTTGCACGTTCTTCTAGTTGCTGTACGTGGGACACCGCCACAGCATGGCCGGAGAAGCGGTGCATCGGTGCGAACCCAGGATCCGAACCCGGGCCGCCAGCAGCAGAGCGAACGCACTTAACCGCCAAGCCATGGGGCCGGCCCCCTAGCACGTGGCTTTGACAGTCAATGACACAAAGATGGTAAGGACTTGGGTCCTGACCTCAAGACCCTCGAGCTCCAGCGATGGAGACACGTGTGCTGGTGCACACACACATATTCACAAGTGTACATGCACCCAAGGCTCATTCAAGACAGACTGTGATAAAAGTTGAAATTGTGTCTTCAGGAGGGATGGACTCTAATGGTGTGATGGGGGAAGTCTTCAAGAGGAAAGAACATCTGGGTCAGCCTTGAAGGTCCAGTGGAATTCACTTGTCAGAAAGGCGGTAAGGGCTTTCTGTCTGGCTACAGGACACAGCATGAATGACAAAGGGGCAAAGACGGAAGGTGTTCACAGGACAGAGAGACGACTTGTGTGCCTGAATCCTCGAAGCTTCCAAGGCTGAAGGGAGAGGTCGGAGACAGAGAGAGGGCCCTTGTGCTCAGGAGCTGGCCTCTGTCCTGTCGAATATGTGGACGTTGAGAAAATGAGAAGCGTTACTGGCCTTTGAGTGGGAAGGCCCTGAGACTTTGAGGCACAGCCCTGGAGGCAGAGTGGCCAGAGGTCAGACTGGAAGTGGAGAGACCACCTAGGGGGCTATTTTTTAAAAGAAATGAAGAGGGCTTGAGCAAGGCAGCAGGAGGAGGGCAGGAGAAGGTGTTGGCAAGAGCCTTAGAAGGTTCAATGGTCAGGACTGAGCTGATGGACTATGGTGGTGAAGGAGGGGAAATCTAGGAGACTCACACCTCCCTCATTGAGGGGCTGGGTGAACACAGATGCCATTGATGCAAGTAGGATGCGGGGGGAGGAGGTTTAGGGAGAAGGGTGACTTTAGACCACTGGGGGTTTCTCAGCCTTAGCGTTATTGACATTCTGGGCCTGATAATTCTTGGTGGTTTGGGCTATCTGTGCATTGTAGGATGATCAGCCACATCCCTGGCCTCTGCTCGTTAGAATTTAAGGTCCCTGAAGACAGCCAGGTGGAGCTGTCAACAGGTGGCTTGGCTTTGGTGTGTGGGAGCCCAGGAGACAGTCTTGCCTGTGTTTTTCATAGCGCCCAAGGGTGACCTGCAGAGCAGGCAAGAGGAGGGAGTGGTTCATGAGGGCAGGGGTTGGTGTTCAAGGTGCCCGTGTTCTGACTCACCGAGTGTCTTGTGGGTGTCTTGAGATGAGAAAGACAGTCTCGTTCACCTCAGTAGCTCCTCAACGCCATGCTTAGTGTAATGGCTGGCTCGAAAGGTTTTGAGAATCGCACTTTCGGGAAGCAGAAATAGCCCAAGAAGCTAGTGTAACCTGGGAAGCTGGGTCAGGGAGAAGCTGAGTCCGGGGGCTCTAAGCATCCAGGACCCTGGGCCACCCTGGCAAAACCCGGACGTGGAGCATCAGCAGCCCTCGCCGTTGCTGGTGGGAGTGTACGTGGTTCAACCTGGCAAAGGCGAGGACTCACAGGGAGGGAAACTCCGGAACATGAGCAGCAGGAGAGGCTCATGAGTATTCAGAGCAGCACTGTTGATAGTCGCAAAAATCTGGAAACCACCCAAATGTCTATCAACAGGAAAATGGATGAATAAGTGATGGTATTTGCATCATTTCGTCACTTCACAGCAGAGAAAATGAGCTACAGTTAAATGTGTCCACGGGGATGCATTTTACAGCCTTGACCTCCAACAGAATGAATGGGAACAAGCAGACAGCGAGTATTTATGTCAGGTCACAAAAAGATACAAAAGTAAACAATGTCTTGTGTGGGGATTCATAAACACGTAGTAACATTACACAGAGACCCAGAGAAACACACACGCAGAACTGAGGCTTGTGTTTACCCTGGTGGAGAGGAAGGCAAGGGCACACGGGGCTTCCAGAGTGTGGGCAGCACCCTGGTTCTCAAAGTGAGTGGGACTGGCAGAGGGCTGTTCCCTTGGTAATTCTTAACACTGCACAGGCATTAAAACCTGTAAGCGTGTGCTGGTCACTTCCTCTGGGGAGAGTCCACAAGGACAGGGCTTCTCACATGGGAATCCCCTGGTGGAGGGCCGGGGTTTCCAACACTTCCCAGCCAGCCATGGGGAAGGGGTCCCCTCCATCCCTTCTCCTCCCAGAACAGACGACAGGTCTGGAATCCCCCACCCCAATCCTGTCTACGCAGGCATAGGGCAGCTTCTCCTTCTCCAAAGAGGCCAGAGGGGACACCTGGGAGCCCCACGGCCCCGAGCAGCGGGGACGGAAGCCGCACCCTGGCCCGTCTGTCCCACATCCACGTGAGCTGAGGAGACCGCCCCCAGAGAACCCAGGAGTGGCTCTCTGGCTCTTGGTTTTTACGAACTCATAACATTTTTTTCATGTGACTACCCAAATGGTATTGCCCCTGGTTTATTTTGTGAAGTGAGAACATTAAAAAACAATTTCTACCTCCTGTCCTCCCACCCTGTAGGTAATGGATAGCTTAACACTACAATAATAGAGGTGAGGCACACACGCTTTCAGAACAAGGGAGGGCCCTCTTCACTGAAAGCATTTCGCTTTATGGAAACTCCGCCTCAGTGGCCCTGGTTTCCTCCTTGGGCAGTAGAGCTGTTGAAACCTGGGTCACGAAGAGCCAATGGGAGAATGTACTTGGGGAGCACTAATCCGAGGGGCACGTAGACACCGTCACACTCCCGGCCTGGCCAGGTGCCACCCTGTGTGCTGTGTGCACACACAGGCGCACACACCGGGCTCACCCTCAGACGAACAGCCCAGCGTCACACACACACTCCTCTCCTGGGCTCCAGGTTGGCACACCTGCCCTGGCACCAGGCGAGGCCGTGCTTCTCTCCTGACCCCAGAGCAAAGGGCCAGGCTCACCCAGCCCATGCCCACAGTGAGCCACCAGTTGGTGCTGGAGCCAGGCGGGTGCTGTGCGGGGCAGAGGTGGGCCTCCTGCTCGGGTGGCTGGGCCTCAGCCTCTGGCTGAGAGGCCACAGCTTGGCCCACATCCAGTCTTCTCAGCAGACCGGGGGTCCAGGGGCCGATGTTCCAGTTCCGGTTTGTCTGTGACCTTGAGGAAGTCACTGTCCCTCTTGAGACCCCCAGACGTTGACCGAGGCACTCTGTGCCAGTGCCGCGGGGTTACGGAGGCTCACCGTGCTCAGCCTTGGCCTCAGGGGACCCTCGGGCCAGCTTAGGGATGTGTCCTGGAGTGAGAGAACCCCTCGCCCCTCCCCTCCGGCGAGGGGCCCGCAGGCCGACAGGCTTCGGGGATTTTTGATGAGACGGCCCTGCCGGGGTAGAAGAGGAGCCTGCCATCCCCACTGGTCCCCGAGACCTGTCCTGCGCCTCGGCAGCTTGGTCATCCACCCAGAACAAAACCACCCCCTGGCTGCCCAGCCCCAAGCGCTGCAGGGAGTCTGACTCACTCTGTGGGGGGCCGTTGGGGCTAATGTTTAACTGGCTCCCTCCTGGGCGGCCGGGCACTTTAGCCCTGAGTGCTGGGCCTGCCCGATGGCCCCGCTGCGAGGTGGGCTCCAGACAGACAGAGGGCTGGGCCTCCTACCCCACGGAGGAAGGGAGGGGGTGGGGAGGGCGGCTCTGGGACAGGCAGGGCTGGCGGCAGGAGGCCCTCTGCCCTGGTCGCTGCCACCAAGGAGGGAGGAGCCACAGGCTCACCTCCAGCTGCAGAGGGGAGGGGTGCTCACCCCAGGGCTGTGTGTCAGTCTGTGACAGACTTCCCCCAGGAGTCCCCCGGCCCTACTGCTGGAGGGAGGGAGGCCTCCCCTTTGCTCATTTGGGTCTCATTTGCATCTTTTTTGAATGTTCTCCTTTGGTGGGGATATTGGAATTCCCCAGGGGCACATGCAGGGCTCCTGACCCCCAGCCGTGTGCCTTCTGGAAAGTGGCTGGTTGGGCTCTGCTGAGGCAAGTCTGATCCCAGAACAGGGCCTCACCAGAGGCAGGCTGACCCAGGTCCCAATTTCCAGTCTGTACCATCAAACCCTGTAACTCCAGGTGAATTACCTAACCTCTCCGGGCCACCACTTCCTCATCTGTAAATCTGAGATAATAGTCTCTACTTCTTCGGTTTTTGTGGGAATGTAATGATATAATTCTGATTAAGCATTTAGCTTAGTATATCCTATTATTATTATTATTCGAATAGTGGCTAAGAGTGTGGACTCCAGCAGAGTGCCTGGGTTAAGTCCTGGCCCCTCCATTTACTGGCCGTGTGACCATGGGAAGGCAGCAACCTCTCTGTGCCTCAGTTTCCCCATCTATAAAATGGGAATGGTAATAGCACCTTTCTCACAGGGCTGTTGAAGGCTTGTGAATGAACTGATGTGCAGAGAGCAGGGCTGGCATCTAGTTGCTGGGCCGGAAGTGGGAGCTGTTATGCAGAGAGAAGCCTCACTCCAGCTCTGCTCTCCTGGGCCCAGCCCAGGGGGGTGCTGGCCCTCCATAGGGAGGGGGACTGCATGGAATCATGCTCTCCAGGTACCCCGCCTCCCACCCAGCCCTGTCCATGGCTACCGCTAAAGCATCAGCCCCTCCAAGATTGCCCTGCCCCAGAGGGGCCCTGTGACAGGCCCTCCTCCCCGGCCACTCAGGCTCTCAGTCTCCTCCTGGAAAGAGCTTCCCTTATCGGCTCTGGCTCCTTCCTCACAGGTGGGTTAGGTCTAGCCCTGCCCGGAAGCAAGAGGAACCGGATGAACTCCAGGAGGCCTTTAGATGGGCCTGTGGCCTTTCCCAGAGGGCCGTGGCCTTGGGTGTGTTGGCCCCACCTCCTCCTCCCATGGGCTTTCTGCACCCAGGTGTTTGTTTTGAGTCAGGCCTGGGGCTGGTCTCCCGCCATTGTAGGGCAGGGTGGAGACCCCGATCTGCCCGGGACCGGGTTAATAGTTGACTGGCAGACTGAGATTTGGAACCTGGGGCCAGGATCTCTCAAAGGGCTGAGAAGAGGCAGAGCAAGGAGACCACGCTGTGGCCCCAGGGCAGCCGGGAAGAGCCCTGGGAGGCAGGGGAGGGTGGGTTTCTGTGGTTGCCAGGGCATGAAGCCCAACCTCATCTTCTGTGGCACAGGCCCATCCCACCAGGTTCTCCAGTTTATGGGGGGGGGGGGGGGGTGTGTGTATGCGTGTGTGTGTGAGGCTGGGTCTGTCTGTGCCCAAGAGTTTGTGTGCTAGGAGTTGTGCTCTTTGCACAACTTTGTCTGCCTTTCTGCGTACTGTGCTGTTTGTATCGAGAAAGTTGGGCAGAGCGCCCCCTCCCCCAGCACATCCCAGGGTGCTGGTCCCTCAAGGGGCTGTGGGCTGAGCAGCCTGGGGCCAGACCCCACCCTGGGGAGTAGCTGGCACTGCACTTTGCACCCAGCTTCTGGCATTTATGGTGGATAATACACCAGGAACAGAGGGCAGAGCAGAGGCTCCCAGGGCGGGTGGAAGGGGCTCCTCAGACAGCTTGGCCTCACCTGGGACCACTGCTGGGCAGTCAGAAAGCTGAAGGGCCCCAGGTCTGGGATGAGCCACCTCCTCTGAGGGCCTACCTCAGGAGTTGCCATGACACTGCCCCGAAATCCAGGCTCCACTCTGGCCCAGACCTCTGGTCTCTGCTCCTAGGACCCACTGTCCTCAGTGTGTGTATGGGGGGGTGGGTGCTGAGGGAGGCTGCCCAGGCCCCCATTCCACCCCAGCGGCCTGCACCCCTCCCCAGGCTTTGGGTCCAGATAGCAGTGGGATGGAGAAATGACCTGACCTAGAGAACAGACCACTGGCTGTCCCACCTCACAGAGAGGATTCATCCTGGAGGAGATGACCAGTCCAGGAGTGTGAAAGGAAACCAAGTAGGAGGAGGGTGGATGAAGGTGGACCCAGTAGGGGCTGGGACAGGAGAACCCCAGGACAGGAGAGCCCCAGGACAGGAGAGCCCCAGGACAGGTGAGCCCAAGGGACAGAGATGAGGAAGGGAACCACCTGGTGGCCAGGATCAGAACTGTAAGGTACCCTTCCTGGCTGGACCCGGGTCCTGCCCTGAGCCTGTAGGACGAGGTGAGGTTTTGAGAGCGCTCTGACCTCAGCCCAGAGCAGCCAGGAGCATCCAGGCGGCACCAGGGAGAGGCGGTCCACATTTGCAGGGAAAGAGGACTGTGAAATCAGGCAGGGCACGGGGCTCTGAACTGAGAGGCCCCTCTTGGCTGGAGTCGTGGTGGGACTGGGCTGTTTCAGAGGTCGGGTCTCCGGTGAGCAGAGCATCCTGGGTGGAGAGGGGGTGCGGTGTGATGTCACTGGACAGAAGGGTCCCAGGGGGACCTCCGCAGGCAGCTGCCAATTCCTCAGCCCTCCATTCTGACCCCAGGCTCATGAGTGGAGCCCACACAGCCCTGTGTTCACAGACTCCCTGCCTCCCTTTCTTCTGAGTGCTCACGGCCAGAGCCACAGTAATGACCAGGACACTGGGTTTTTAATGAGGAGGTCGTGATGCTTGTGGACACTCTACATGTCACAGCAGCGGTGGAGGGAGGCAGCGGGGCTGGAGGGAAGGACCCTCACATCGCCCCGTCCTCAGTGTGGCTACACCCCGGGCTGCTGGGTGAGGTCTTCAGACACGGGAGTTTCTCCCCGTGGTTGTCTGTTTAATCCCAGTTCCAGACGGAGGTGCTCAGGCTGGAGGCAGAGGAGGGAGCAGGGCGGGTGCAGAGAGGTGGGTGAGCCGGGTGGTAGAAGGGGCTTGGAGCAGGAGCCCAGAGCGCAATGCAGCAAGCCGGGCTGTAGGGACAGAGAGGCGGAGACCATGGGTTCCCGGAGACCTGTGTGCAGTTTATGACTCCCTGACTTACCCGCAGCACACACAGTCCCAGATTCTCACTCCTAGCCACCTTGGGCTGGACCTTCCTCCACAGGGGCTCCTAGGAAGCCTCAGCTTCTCCCCTGTCCCAGCCCCTCCCACTGCTCCTACCCCTGGGCTCCTCGCACCCGCCACAGCCTGGCCTCCAGGACTGGCTAATTCCCATGGCTGTGCCTTTGTGCTCCACCAGCCTTCAGACAAGCCCTTCCTCTGTGTCTGCTAACACTTGCCCATCACCTCCTAGGAGAGCTCCCCTTCTCTGATGGGCTATCTGGCAGACCTCGGCCCCTGCACATCCCCTCAGCACTCCCCTAGGGTCGTTAGGTGGCCTGATTTTGCCGCTTTCTCCAGCAGTTTCCTTGGAGAGTGGGTGGGCTTGTCTTCTCTGAATGGAGTCCCCTGGGAGCAGGGACTGTGCAGGCCATGGCCAGGAGGCATTTCAAAGAGCTGAGACTGCAGGAAGTCAGCGCCAGAGGCCCTCAGGGATCATCTAACCCAGCGGTTCCCAAACTCTGGCATGGAATCACCAGGAAGGCTGGCCCCAGCCCTGAGTTCCAGCCCTGTCCAGTGGGCCTGGGGTCGGGCCAGATCATTGGCACCCCAGGCTGTGTCGTACTGCGGGTCCCAGGACCGCACTTGGAGAACCACTGATCTGATACAACCCCGACTTTATAGACAAGAGGAACAAAAAGTGCCCCAAAGCAGAAATAACGTGCCAGAGTCTCAGGGTGGAACCAGGACTGAGCCCACAGGCCGACTGGTCGCTGCTGCCCTCACTACACCGCATGGGCCCAGCCCTCCAGCCCTATTATCCTTGAGGCTCCTGTGGGCCCGAGAAGGGGATCTGGTCTCTGGGTACCTCTACTGTGTGGTGGGAGACTTGGCGGCATCAAACATCTTCTTCCGGCCTTCCATCCCAGACATGGCCTCCACGTTCTTCCTCCAGTCGCCCACCTCCACGGGCCGCTCCTGTGGGCAGGCCGCACACACAGAGATTTAGCAGGCCACAGGGGCAGCCAGGGCCCTCCAAGCACAAGAGAAATGGGGTGGTAGGAAACCCCGCCACCCCAGCCCAGCTGGTGGGGTCCTAGGACGCAGTCAGAGAAGTGGACACAGGTCAATCAGAGGCTGCACGGGAAGAAGAAGCTGTGTCGGCTGGGAGTTCTGGGTGACTGTGGTGGGGTTCTGGGGCCAGCTCCCATCCTGATGAGCCACAGCCCAACCTCACCTCCAGGCCCCATGCCACCCCCCTGGTCTGCTGCTCAGCAGCTCAAGGTCACCTCTTCCAAGATGTCTTCCTCCTTCCAACTTAGCTCATTTTCCGTTTCATCAGCATATTACCTGGCCCATCTCTCTTTGTGAGGCTTCCTGGGCCAGAGACCCCGTCCGTCCCTGTTCCTCACGGCCCGTCCCTTCTGGCCCGGAGCCCGGCCCGCTGTGAGTGATGTGCTGCTGAGGGGGGGACTGAACCCAGCTCTCTGATCTCTGTGCCCGTGTGTCCTACAACCACGCCAGCCTGCTGCCTTTCCCCAGCAGGGACAGAGGGCAGTTGTCCCCCAGTCACCCTAAACCTCCGGTTCTCTTTGCAGTGGGCACATGGTTTTTCTTTATTCCTTCATCTGCCTTCCTTTGTGTCCCTGTTTCCCCCTCAGACTGGGAGCAGCCTGAGGGGAGGGAGCAAGTCTTTCTTCTCCCAGAACAGCACCATTGGTCTCCCAGCGGGTCCTAGAATGTTCTAACAGTCTGGCTGGCCTCCAACAGGAGCTGCTGGGCCTGCCCCAGGCTACGTGAGGGGGTGATGGGTGAAGGTCGATGGGACGGGCAATGAAAGGTTCTGAGGAGAGGGGTCCCCACCTTCTCTGTGTCCTCCTTCTTCACGGACTTCAGGTTGGCCCGCAGATCCATGGACACCTTGTGCTTGGAGCCCAGCAAGGCTCGAAGCATGGCGTCCGCCGAGACGCGGACCCGACGCAGGGGCGGGCGCTTGAACTTCCCGCGGAGGTCCAGCACCTTCAGCTTCAGGTCCTTAATCTGCAGGCGAGGAGCACGAGGGCTCGCGGGCACCTTCCCAAGCACCTCAAGCTTCCAGCCAGAGCAGCACCCCAAGTTCTGCAGCCTCTAGGCCAGACCCTTCGGGACACTCAGACCTACCCAACACTTTGCAAGCCAGCACATGGTTGCTGATAAACGACTGAATGAGTGAGTGGACAGATGAAGCCCGCCAGCCACCCTCTTCCCAACTTCACAGTAGCCGTGAAGAGAACGGGCAGCCCCACCAGGGGCAGGAGCCCCGTCTGGAGCGCGCGGCCGCTTTGTCTTCATCCTGCAGCCTCAGCTGGACTAGTTCCAACTAGTGCCCCCAGGGGCGCCTTCAGTGCAGCTCACTGAGGGCACGGCCTCGGTCCAGCAGGGTGGACAAACCCCAGGTCCCGGACCCCTGGGGGAGTTTCCAGGGTGCGCGCTCCAGAGGGAATTCTGGGGAGATTATAGGTGGTCATTCCTGATGAGGAGAAGTGGGAAGGAGGGAAGCGGCTCCTGGTCCCTCCCCGCCCTCCTTGTGCTTGAACAAGTGTCCAGAAGCAGCCCACTCCAGCAGTAAAAGCCCTGCGCTTCCGCTCTCTGCCCCATCCCAGGGTCTGGACAGAGCCAGTGCCCCCATGCCCCACACCCAGGGAGCATGAAGCACTGGGCTAGGGGTCAGAGACCAGTGCTGTGGGCTGATTTTCTCAGCCTCTCTGAACCTCAGTGTCCTCATCTGTAAGGTGCAGATAATAGCACTTACTTCATCCTCAGGCATGTAGGGAAGATCAAAGGCACATGAGAGCCGTTCATAAGGGTAAGATGTTATTAACAGGCCCATGATTATTTGTGTGGGTGAATACAGAGGGTGGCTTCTGTTAGACTGTGGAGGCCCCGTGCCAGGTTAGGAGGAAGTCTGTGCCTTTCATCTGCGTGATTATCCTCTCTCTGCCTAGCTCCAGCCCTGTGGGGTCCCTGTGGGGCTGGAATGGGGGCACCAGAGCTTCCTGCTAAGTGGCCACTGCCCGGGCCCTGCAGAAGGCGGGGCCCTGGTCCCCAGCTGCCGGGTCCATGCCAGCCAGCTCAGCCTGCCCCTGGCTCACCTCCCTGGTGTTGTGGAGGCACTTGGCCTCGATGTCGTATCTCTCCTCGTCCACCACCTCCACCTTGGCGTGCAGGTCCCGGCACAGGTCCTGGGGAAGCAAGGTGCGTCGGGCGGGAATGGGGAAGAGGGGAGGGCAGCCTCCAGCCTCTCTTGTCTGCCCCCAAGCCCAGTACCCTGGGCCTCTCCCCAGCCACTCTGCAAGAGCCATGCTTGGGGGGTGGGGGGCGGTGGGGAGCTGACGGACTCCTGCGCTCTGAGTGTCAGCCCGTTGTTTTCCTTTCGGAATGTACTTGTTTTCTTTAAATAAGTTAATTGTAGACATTTTGAAAATTATGTTTTAAGCAAAAATAATAAAATAAAAAGTGACTACTGCTGCCACCACCTGGAGATAACTGAGGGCAACATTTCGGGGTCCTTCCTTCCAGTCTGTTTTTTCTGCTGTTGCTGGCGTTTAAAGTTATCAAAGTGTAAAAACTAATTAAAACCCATCTGTAGGGGGAAGACGGGCACGTCTGGGGAAACAGGGCTTCGTGGTCCTGCCCACCTCCCCGCTCCACGCAGCCCCAACCTCCACACAGTCTGACAGGAGGCCCCACCCCGGGCTCGGCCCCACCCCAGCAAGTCCCTTCCGGGCTGAGGCCCACCTCCCACACGCGGGAAATGGGCTCTGATGGCCCACCGCGCAGGGGGTGGGAAGATGAAATGAGACCATGGAGGGAAGAGCTGCTCGTCTGTCGTAGAGCTCGGAGCCGGGGTGGTCCAGGTTCCTGCCACCTGGCCCCTGGGGTCACCCACACGGGGCCCCCAGCCACCCTGGCCGGCAAGGCTCACCTGCAGGGCGCTGAGGGACAGGCCGCGGGTCTGCAGCGTGGGGATGCGCTCGGCCAGGTAGCGGGCCTTCTCGGCCTCGCGCTCCTCGTGCTCCTGCTCCCAGCATTCCTTGGCCTTGGCCAGCATCAGGCTCTGGACCGGACGGAGCCTGGTGAGCCCAGGCCCCGGGGCCCTCGAATGCCCCCACCCCCGCATCCTCGGACCCCGGAGACTGTTTCTCCCTCGCTCCTTCCTCTTACCCGTTCCTCGTCTGTTTTGGCCTGCAGAGCCTCAAAGAGAGAGACCCTCACCAAAATGAAGCCAGTCCCTCTGCCCCACCAGCGCCCCCTCCTGGAAGCTGCTCGCTGCCCCCTCTCAGGACTCCACGGCTCCAGATTGTACCCGCTGACCACCTGGCTCCGGGCAGCGGCCGGTCTCCCTCTGCCTCCTCAATATCTTTGCTCTGGCCCCCTCGCTCTGCCCCTCCCACGACCTTCCACACCCCCTCAGAGTCTGTGCTGTGTCCCCTCTGCCTCCCGTGGGACACCCCCCGGAGCCAGCACCGCCTAACCTTCAGCAGGAGCTTGCGGGACGCGGTGATCTTCGGTTTCCTCTGCGGGTGAGAAGGGGAGAGATGGGGTGAGGTGGAGGCCGCAGAACTGAACTCTGTCTCAGCCACAATGAGTGCCAGCTGGGTTCACCATCACTACCCGGAATCCTCGCCTCAGGGCCCTTAAAAGCTCATCTTTGTGCTTTAACCCCTCAAATTCAGAGAAAGCTGCCATCGGCTACCTTGATCTGGGGGCTGAGGCCCTGCTTCTAATTCTGGTTCTGCTGCTGCTGGAACCTGCAAGGTGCTCTGTGGGTCACACGGCCTCTACAGGCACCTCCTTCCTCATCTGTAAATAGGATGCTAAGATCCATCTGACTTAGTTCACAGAGTTATTACAGACAAATGACATCGTGGGTGTGCAAATATTTTGCAAAGTGTAAAAGAGATGCCTGTTTTAGCACTCTGGATGGAGACATACCAATATTTTTTGTTCATGTCAACACCATCTGTATAAATCTTTCTCAGACATAAAAGCACTGTTTTCTCCTCTCACTAAGGATACTAGACATATTCTTGCGAACTAGATATGTTGCAATAAGTCTCAGCCCCAGGCAGTGTGCCCTGAGGGGCGGGAAGGTGCCCGATCCCTAACTAAGGAGACTGATGCCTTCCAGCCCCGGTGTCCCCTCTCGGCTGTGGGTCGTCACCTCACACTGCTGTTGATGAGCACCTGCTGCTTCTGTGCCGTGCGCTGGAAGAGCGCAGCTCCACTTTGTCACTCATGTGTGGAAAGTGGAAGTGACCAGGCTTTGTGGGAGAAAATGAATGAGCTCTAGCGCACGGAACGTGCGCTTGTCATCTGACCATTCAGTGGTTCGTCTGCCTTTTTCTCTCAGCCCAGGTTTCTGCTACATTTCAATTAGTGCGACTGAAGGAGAAACAGCCTGTCGCTACAATCAATACCACCGTGGTTTGCACACTGTAGTGCACCGTGGCCAGTGTTTCACTGCAGTGTCCTCTCCCCACCACTTGGTGAGCTGATGGGCCACCTCATTTGACCATCAATCAATGAGGACTCACTTAATATGGGCCTCAGCAAACCTTAGAAATCCATATGGCTGTTGAAAAATGGTGTATTTGATCCTCATTGAGAACCTCTGTGCCACATACCCCTCCATCAGTGCTGCTGATTCCCACCCTTGCCAGCCCCGAGTCACAGCCCTGTCCCTGTGGTCCTCATCCCTGGGCTGTACACGGGCTGTGTTCTCAGCAGCCAGAATACATCTGGATTGTACCAGAGTCGGGGCTGTCTAAAACCTGAGGGGAGCAAAGGACACCTCTTTGCTATTCCCTCAACGTTCAGTCATTGGGCAGGGGTGGAACAACCCAGGGACAACCCCCTCCTCCCTTCAAATATGGCTTTGCACAGGACCAGCTCTGCAAGCACAGGATGGCCCCCAGGGCCGACGAGCTCTCAGAGTGGGTGAGGGAGAACTTGCTCCGTGCTCAGGGAGGTGCAGAGCAAGGATGGTGCAGAGTCGCACCCAGCTCGGCTGTGCTCCCAGCCCCAGGACCACCTTCCAGTGACATCGTGCACTGGGGAGCCAACTCCCTGGACCCCAAGAAGCCCCATGTCCAGAATCTTCACCCAAGGTTTCTGTTCTCCTGGGAATTTCTCAGCCACTGGGCATTCCCCTCCCCAGGCCTTGACTCAAGCTCCCTCCTCTCCTCAAATGCCCACCCCCCCCTTCACCAGCCTGCAGACTTAACCAGGACAGAGCTGCCCCAAGTCCCACTTACCTCGCTTCAGGCATCCGTCACAGGAGGGACAGGGGGAAAAAGCAGAAGAGAGAGTGAGTATGAGCAATGCATGTTATATATGTAGCAGCAGAACCACGCAGACACGTTGTGGGGGCGACAGTGCACCAAAAGGAAATCAAGCATCAGGCAGGGGACCAGTTCGAGGGTTCCAGCAGAATAGAATAAAAACCCAACGACCCTTGGGCTACGGAGGTTCTTGTGGGAGGTACTAGCTGGGGAGGAGAGGTGGAAGGTCAGAGAAGCCTGGACCTAGGGTTCCAGCAATGTGAAAGCTTCCATCCTGGGCTCATGGGCACATTCCTGAAGCTTTGATCATCTATTGGGCCAGTGTTAATGGCACATGCGATGCATTTGATCAGTGCAGACAGACAAACTCTGCACCTGCCAGGAGATCGTCCCCAGGCAACCCGGGGCCAGGGTTCTGCTCAAGGCTGGGAGGACGCATGGCCACCTGGGCCCAGGCACTCAGGCCTGTTCCATTTCGGGACCTGCTCTCCTGGGCACTGCGTCAGGGTTGTAACAGACAGTGCCTCAACCATAGGGCTGAAATCTGCAGCCAGAGGACTTGATGGGGGACTACTTACACTTCCGGCATGGTGGCAGCAGGGCGACAGCACCTGGGGGCACAAAGGAGTCACTAATGAGGAAAAGTTACAACTCCTGCCCCCAACCCACCCCCGGGCCTGGGGGCTGTGTAGGCAGACCAGCCGGGAGAGAGTCAGGCAGCAGGAAGGAGAGACCAGACCCAGTGGGTTCTAGCCAGTCAGGAGAGGATAAATACTTGTCCATTTCTTCTTTTTTACCCTCATTCGCTCATTCATGTATGCATTTCCTTACGAGCAAGAGAAATCTTATAAAGGCAAAGAAACAATATAAGAATTGAAAGTGAAGAACATGCAACAGAACCTTATGTGGCCTGCAAAGCCTAAATATTTCTTATCTGGTTCTTTCCAGAAAAAGTTTGCTGGCCCCTGCAGGGAGCAGAAGGGAGTCCATAGAAAGCACACATGGAAAGTGAGGGCGGAGCTCGCTCCCGGGGCCCTGACCAACAGGCTGAGCTTGGACTTTGTCCCCCGGATGATGGGTGGTCCCTGAAGATCTGGAGGAGGGGAAGGATCTGGAAGACAAACGGCGCAGAGTGAAGATGGAGTACAGGTAGCCGCCGTGTGGCACAGCTCCAGGGGGTACCATGCACACTCTGAGCCATGTAATTGTGTGGAGGGGGGTAGGGCAGTGGGGCCCCACCTGGAGGGGTCAAGCAGGAGGCGGGCACACGTGAGTTCTAATCTTCACCCTGACCCTCTCCAGCCCAGTTCTGTTCTCTGCAAAATTAGGGGTTAGATAAGGTGTTGTCCACTTAGTACTCAACTCTTGAACCCTTTGTTCAAACCAAACTTTACTTGGAAACAAAACAAATTCCATCAATATGAGCATGCAGCACTGGTTGGGGGGGTGAGCACAGGGGCCCCACGATCCTCTGTGAGGACCACTGGCCGTGGAGCTCAGTTTGAAGCCCCCTGGCCGGGTGATCCTGGGGCCGCTTTAGCCCCGACAGTTGGGGGCCCAGGCCGAGGAAGGGGTCCTTGACACTGCAGAGGGGGATGTTCCAAAGCCAGACCTGCCCATCCATCTTCCCCGGGCCTGGACAAAGAACATTCCCGGGGAGGGAGACTGTGCAAAGGTCAGAGGAAGAGGGGACGACAGGGGTGCCAGCAGGTGTCCTGGCAGGACAGGAGCCCTGGGCCCGGTATGAAGGGAAGGACGGGGGAGACCAGTTCAGGGGCGGGGAGAGGCACAGAGCACAGGGTCAGGGGCTCGGATCTGGTCCAAGAACCTGGTGTGGAGTGGGCAAGGGCAGACTCGAACGACGCTTGTAGAGTGGCTACCAGGAGTTTCCTTGCAGAGCCACCTCCTACCTCAGCCTTAATTCTCTCCTTTCCCTTGTGCCCACGAAGCATCCTCCCCAGCCCATGAGCGGGCTTGGCCACCTCTCCTGAGTCTCCCATCAGAAAGCCTCCTGGGCCTCCACCTCTGCCTCTGCCACCAGGGGAGAGTGGGGCCTGGGGTGGAGGTGGGGAGAGGGAGGGTGACCCCAGAGTCTCAGCTGTCAGCCCGGGGCACAGAGGGAGGGGTAGGGGCCAATCCATAAATTCCCAACATGCTTGGCTGAAATTAGATTTTATCACCAGCTGTTTATTCTGAGGGCTCCGCTCCTCCGAGGATACTAAGGAAGTCCAGAAAAAACACCAGCTGATGAAGAACCACCCCCAGGTCCGCGTGTCCATCATCGTTGCCTCCCCAAACGCCAGTCCCCAGAGGGCCCCAGGTCTCAGCCTAGGAGGTCTCCTGTCTGTTTCCCGGATGGGCCTCACCCTTGGTGGGCATTTGGCTGTGTTCACATCTCCCTCAGAGAGCCCACTCTCACCAGTGTGGGGCCCTACCTGCCCAGGCCAGTCCAGGCCTCCTGCCAAGCTCCAGGGCCGTCCCCCAGCATGCCCCACTGACAAATACCAGGCCAAGGGGTCCCAGCCTGTGCTCTGACACCCACCAGACCGGACCCCTTGACAGGACCTGATAAGAAGTCAGGATGTAGATAGCAGCAGGGGCGAGGCTGGAGAGCCGGCATTCCAGCTCCCCCACGAGCAGCAAGCAAGGAGAGAGCTAGAGAATCCAAAGCTGGAGGGAGGAAGCAGAGCATGGCGGGTGGTGGCCTCAGAGCTGGGCCTTCCCCTCCCCGAGGTCCGTGGGGTGGAACAGAATATCAGCTCGACTCTAGGATTGAGGCCGTGTGTGTGAGCGTGAGTGTGTAAGCAACTGTACGTGTAGGGAAAGGAACAGATCTCCTTGCACACCTGATAACCAGGGACACAAATCTCTAGTAAGGCTCATGTTGTCCCCCTGCCCTACTTCCCTTGACCTTGGACCCCAGTTCATGGGCACCCCACTCCTCCTTGGCTGACCACTAACAAGGGTCATACTCCCCAGCCTGTGGCTGTGGCCACACTGCACCTCAGTCTTGACCTCTGAACAGGAGAGCCTGTCTCGGGACTGCTGGGGACCTGTCTCCCAGACCTGGTGCCAGGGCAGCCTTCAGCCCCCCCTGCCAGTTAGAGACCCCAACTCCCTCACCCCCACCCGCAGCTGTGGCTCCCACTGGAGAAGTTGCCCTCGCTCATGTTCGAAGACCCTCCTGCTCCAACTCCAAATGCTGTCACCATCCACTCCCCCAGGGGCCCCCCACCAACTCTGTCCACTCTTCAGAGCCTGGAGTGGGGAGAGGGTTTGGCCTCTCGCCCAGCATGTTGGCAGCCTGCCCTCCCCTGTTCCTGTCCTACTGTTAGCAGGATGGGCAAAGGGAGCTATGTGCGTCCCTCAAAGACAAAGAACAAAGAGGCAAGATGGTTCCCTCGGTCAGCAGGGGCTGGGGGACAGTCTTCTAGGCTCCCTGGGCTCCTGCATGCCAGAGCACCTTCTTTCTCTTCCTCTGCTGGCATTGCTCACTTTTATTGCTCACCAGGCTCTTCTGAAACTTCAAATGCAGCCCTACTGCCCCCGACCTCCCATCCCCTTCCCCTGGTGCCCTCTCCCTCCCGGGACCTGCTGGGCAGCCCAGCGCGAAGGCATAACCCAAAGGTGCTGCCCTGGGGCTCCTCGAGGAACCCGGTGGGAAATTCTGCTCGTGCTCTTAGCCTTCAACTGGGCAGGCGGTGCACCCGCAACAACGCAAGAGAGCCGCCATCCTCCAGGACAGACCCTGCGGGCAGGCGTGTCTTAGGACCGGTCCACCAAGAAACCCAGTCGTATGGGCAAGAAATACCTTCTTCCGTCTCCAAGCCCTCGCCTTCCCCTGAGACTCAAGCCCCAGTTTCGCCGTCTGGGCTCGACCTAGATGGGCAGTGCTGGGCAGCAGAGGCTTACCTGGTCAGTGTCCGGGAGCCGGGCTGGCCGGTGTCTCGCAGTTGACTGTGGACTGTGAGGGGCAGAGCGGGGGAGGCTATGAAAACTGCCGCCAACAGCAACTGGCCAGTAAAAATAGAACAGACTGCTGGCCCTCCAGCTGCCCTCCTCCCACCCCCGCCCACCACACACACCTCACAGAGCCAAGACACAAGGCAGGACACAAGGCAGGCCCACGGGCTTGAAGACATGTGTGTACGTGGCTCAGGAGTACACACAAACCCTGTGCACAGAGGCCACCAACTGAGTACAACCAGTACCCACCTAGGGAGACCCAAGCCAAAGAAAGGGAGACAATGAGCAGCAGACCAGCTGGGTGCTGAGCAGCCGTGGGGGGTGAGGGAGAGCAAGGGGCCCTGTGGAGGAGCCGGCAGGGGCTGGGGGAAAGGGAACTGTTGCACTGACCCTACATCTCTTACAAGGAAATGTGGACATCAGGCCCCGAGCCCACACTCCAAAAGCCTAAGAGGACTCAAGACGCCTGGACTCGGGGAGTGATGTAAACAGAACTGCGGACCAACTCCAAGGAGCCTCCTGGGGTTGAGCTGAAGGGGCAGCAGGGGGCCCACCTCGTAGAAATCTGACGGTCTCCAGGTGGAGGTCCAGGAAGCTCAGGTTTACCAGCTTCCAAACGGCACCCCACGTCCCACGCCTGGACCCCGGGGAGACTACCTCACCTTCTTCCCAGCCCTATCCCTTGTCTCCCGCCAACAGAATCCGGGCGGCTGGGCTGCAGGGGGCTGCACCTGTTTACAGGGTATTTTTAGGACGGTTGGTGAACACATAATACCCTATAGTCAGAAAAAGACAATGCCTGCTATGTTAATCCCCTGGCTATTATCGTCGGTCATCTCGTGGGCCAGGATCCCAGGCTGGGGCAGGACGCGCGGGCACTGACCCCTCGGGGAGGCCAGGAGAGGCCTCGCAGTGGCGGGAGAGCAGGCAGCAATACCGTGCTCCCCGCTGGGGGGGAGAGAGCTGGGACAGGTGTGTCCTGAGGAGACACAGCCACAGTGTCACCGGGCCAGGGAGGCCACTGCCGTTCTGGGGCCCAGCAGCAGTTGCTCTAACTTGGCCCAGGTCAGGTTAACTCTGGGAAGCGTCCAGGCTGGCAAGCTGCCAGAGAGAAGGGACAGGGTCTGGGAAGTTATGGGGTCGGGGCACAGGATTCCAAGTTGGGGGGCTGGGATGGAAAATGAAGGCAGCAGCAAGGAGCAGCCGGGGATCAGAGAGGGATTTGGGGGCTGGGAAGTGAGTCTACTGGGGTTTATTGCATGGGCTTATTATGTTTATAATTTATACAATTGCTTTCTTACCAGACCTTAATATGCATAAAAACAATAAATTGTCTGGGTGGATTACCCGGCTTTTTGGAATGGAAAACACAGAACAGACTGACAAAGTGAATAGCAAAAGGGGGTCAATACAAACTAAAACAAAGGCGACTGGATGTTCACAGGAAGACGTGACGGCTGGAACCCACCCAGCAGACCCTCCTCTCTGTAGTGATCATGAGGACTCACGGACTCAGAGGGTCTCGGGTGTTATTCATCCTCAGGATCTGTTGGGACAGATGGGGCCAGGCTCCCTTGTCCGAGGTCCCAGCATCTGGACTGTCCATACCACATGGTCTTCGGT